GTCACTTTCTGCTTCGCCATTGGACGCGATCGATCGCCGATTCCAGGAAAACCGCTGGCCCACGAAAACAGCGAGCTTCGAAATTGGACCACCTTTCAGCTCGTGTTTCGCCACTTTCCGGCACGATGGATTAGCGGGATCGATCCTTCGATCCTAAACTACGTTTGTAATTGATACACAGGATCCTTGAAATTTTTCCTCGCTCCGGTACCTCTGATCGCTTAGGGGTTAAGATTAGGGGTTATTGCACCTATTCCTCGATCTCGCGAATAAGCGCAGGCATGCAAGGATGTAACCCAAGCCAGCGTGCGAGGAAAGTAACAAATTCCAAGCGTACCTCGAAATTCGCACTCCACGGGCTTCCAGGAAGTCTGCTCTTTCGGACGTTATCCTCGTTCCTCTCCGCCCTCGTGGTTTTCGGTCTGCAACCTGACCGATGAAAGTGTTTCATTTGGAAATCTGAAGGATCAATTTTTAATCGTGATCTTCTTATCATCGTCCAACTTGTCGTTTGCTACATCGAGCAAACGAAGGACCATGGGGGAGCTGTCGAGGGAGGTGGAAGGAAGATGAAGTAGCGTGAGATAGCCTCGTCCAGGTCTCTTCACTTCTTACCGGGGTACCGTCTAGAGAGCTCGACAAACACTCGAACAATCTCGTGTGAGACTTCTTCAAAACACCGGGCCCCATTGTTGCCGTGTCATCTCTTCGGGTCCTGGGCCATTGTACCCTAATGCGTGTACACGTACCAATCGGTCGAATCGATCAGCCATTCGCTAAATGCACCGCGAGAACAATGACAAGGCTCGACCCTTTCTTCAAGATCATTTTTATTCGCGATAAGAAATTTTTCGCTATTCTGAAATATAAATCTTTCACAATGGACGTGATTTCGAAAGGGTTGAAAGCGTTGCGAAAGAGGACGAGACGTCTCATTGTCTGGGAATTTGAATTGTCGATGATCAACCCGGTCGATAAAAGAGGCAAGTGGCGCGGAGGTGTCGAGGGAAGCGGAAGTGACTTCCTGGCGGATCAGCTGACGCCTGGGCGGTTCGTTTCAGGACCTAGTGAATGGAATATCGAGAGCAGAGTAGAACGGAGATGGCTACTTTCACTCTTTCTCTCTCTCGCTCTTGGTTTTGGGCCCCGAATTCTGGCCCGGAGGTGGAGGAGGTGACGAACGTTGGATGAATGGTGGGGGGATATGAGGGAAATCGGAGAAGAAGAGAAGATGATGGGTAGAAGAGGGAGAGGAACGAGCACGTTGAAACAAGAAGAATGGAATAAAAGGTTGGCCTGGCAGCGAAGGTGAAGCTGAAACGGGCCTGGAGGAGGAGAAGGACTGGAGAAGAAACCAGCGGGGGCGGGGCTCCGAGTATAGATGCTGGGATGGAGCCTGGATGGTGAAGGAACCTTCACCATCTTCGTTCATCTCGGACCCAACCCCCTTTCTCATCCAAACCTGGCCCATCTTTTGCCTTCTCTTCTTCTGCTCCTTTCTTTTTTTTTTTTCATTCTTCTTATGGTTTATTCTTATATTCTTTAATTGATTTTGCATCTTCGATCGTGGCTGATTATTCTTGCAGCTGTTGAAAAAACTGGGAAAGCTTATAACTCTCATGAGAAGTAAACTATTCTGTCAAATTCTAAAGGAGTGTATTTCTTCTTCGTTATAATTTTTCAAAATTATCATTTCTAGAATTTCCTATAATTATACTAAGTTTGAGCCTATGATCAATTATCCTAAATTTCATGAAAAAGAACTTTTGCAATTAATTTCTTGCAGGTCGACGAATAACGGTATAATTCGATATGAAAATGAATTGCATATGGTGGTCGGAAATACGGAATTGAACTTGCTAACTAGGCAGCTGCAAGAATTAACACGGCGTTCGGTGAAGGAGATAAGATAGGCTGCATGTAAACCAGGTGTAAGTGATAGACGCTCGATAATTAACGGGTATCGAGGTGAGAGATGAGGCAGAGATAGGGTGTTCGAGCAGGGGCACATTATCCCTGTCGCATCCAGTCCATCATCCACCGAAACTGGTTTGTTTTTTGCCTTTCATTCGCCTTTCGTAACGTGCAGTGCGCGACTCGAATTCCTGGCCGACACACCGTGAAAAATTTTCTCCCTTGTATAGGCTTGTCAGTCGTTTACGCTTCACTGAAAGTAATTCGGTACATTGTTGCGAATTTTATACCCGTGTTAACGTCAGAAAAGTACGAGGTGTCATTTAAAATTCAACGAAACTAATGCTCGGATATACTGCATAGTGTCCATGCATCTTTTATTCTTTTTCTGTCGCGAGTTCGAATCCCATCGAGGGAACATTTTTTTTTTTATTTTTAAAACTTTTAAATTCAAGGATATTTTTTCAAAATTATTCCATCTAAATTTTATTTAAATAATTTAAAATGGTGTTAATACCAAGATCCTTTGTACACCCACTCGGAGGTTAACGAAACCGAGCGAAGAGGAACGAGGGGTTGTTTTTTCAATCTGATGCGTTTTTCAATCGTTTCTCATGAGCACCGTACAAGAATCGCGATTCGTTTCGAGGATATTTCGCGCGCTGGCTTTGTGATCGGCCTTTTTTTCATCCCCGTCGTCTGTCTGCCTTCAGCCCTCGGTTGACCCTAATGGATTACAGGCCGGGCCATTTTTCACTCGAAATGGATTTTCATAAGGCCCCGACATTCTCCGCTTTGCCCGACCGCGTGCATTCTCTCTTCCACTCTATCTGCACTCTGCCAAAATGTTTGTAAATAGATGTAAAGTCTGGGAGGGGCTCAAGGGATTCCCCGCTGGGTGAACAAGGCACCCCATCGCGCACCACCGACGGTACATTTCTCGGCCTCTTCACCATTCTTCCCTCCCTTTATACGAAACTGCATCGGCCACCTTTTGTGTTTCCTCCACCTTCTTCTTCTTCTTCTTTCCCATCCTCCCACTCGTACTCTTACCGCTTCTTCTCATTTTGTTTCTTCTCTTTTACCCCCTGTTTCTTCTTATTATTCTTTATTATTACTCATCCCTTGATTTCTGGAATCGTTTTTTTTCTCTCGAATTCCAAGCAAATATAATTATATTTAACTGGCGTAGAAAGTCAACGCAAATTCTGCGCTCTTGTTGGAAAAATCCAAACATTCCCCGGTCTGTTTGAGAATACAGTGTGACAGGCACGCGGTGTCGTGTTAGCAGTACAAATTATTAAGACACGTTCAAACACGCGCTTTCGTCGGAAGCGATAAATCATCGGTATGAAAACACATTGTGTTTGCCCTGTGCACCTCTTCGTTATGCAAATTTACGCGGGATTCTGTTCCGACGAACTCGGTCCGCGCGCGAATTCAATGGAAATCCAGGATAACGGTGGGAACGGAGTTAATTTCCAAGTTCAGGGTGCAACCGTGAAATCCTGATTCATAAGGGCTGACAAATCACACCCTGGAGTATTGGATCACAATAGCACAAACCGTATATCTATCACCTTTCGATGATTTTGCGTTTATATAAAAATCTGTCGTTCGTCTAACATATGGTAGCATTTTCAACAAAGAGAAATTATTTTCCTCTATTTTTTTTATTTTGCCCTTTCGATATCCTCTGAAGGCATCGAATTTAATGCTGTCTCGCGTCGTTTTCATAGGAACGATGGGGCGGCTTAACGTTTCGACATCGGGCACGAAAATGAAACGAGCCTTCTTACAATACCACGAATTTGCAGCTCTCCTTGCGGCAATTAGCCCCTATTGAGGTGTACAGGACAGCTCGAGGGACCGGTCCCGCCTTCTTCGTCCGGCCCGTACCCTGCCGCGAATGCTCGCGGGTGAAAAGCGGACGGGTTCCACGCCACGGTGTCACGGCCACGTGCACGCGATCGCCACAAGCGGATCGCACCGCACGCCCATCGGTTGTCGGATGAATTCCCATTAAGGTACGCGGGTCCGCCTCTGAATGAAAACGGCCCGGCTGCCCTGGACTTAGCGAGCCCTGCTGTCACGATATCGTGTCGGCTCAATAGCCGCCCTTAATTCCTCTCCTCACTGCGATTTTTCAACAATACCAACCGCGTATAAAACAAATTTTGTTATTCAATAAACCACAGCGAGTGGTGCCTCTTGAAAATTCCTTAAGAATCGCGATTCATCCCCCGAATAAGCACGGACCGCAAAGAAAGCCGCATTCGACTTTCCATGCCCCGGGAATTGGCTTCTTCCGCGCGTTCTGTCGTGAATAAAGCATCCCGACGCCCTTCGAAAATCAACTTAAACACGGGTCAGAAAGGGCCAGAATAGACGTGGACAATGGGTAGCTCGTCGCGCCCTCGATACGCTGCGTTCCGGATTAAACGGGGTTTACACGGATCCCCGTGTTGCTTCCCGTCGCGCGATGTCACGTTTTTCCTTCTATTGACCGCTGGGTGCTCCGGTATCGTCCAGGTAGACGGATCTTAGAAAAAAAGGCGGCGTCCGCTCGTGAGAGGATCGCCGTGACCGAATGATCCTCGACACCGGGTCGTGTTTATACTCCTGTTTGCCTCCTGATTCGCCACGGCCTCGACCCTTAAATGGTACCCCGAAAAGTCCTGGTGACCGGTCAAAACACGCATCCGTTTCCCGCCACCTCGTCCAGGGACATCGGGTTCGTTTACCTGACGCCCGCTGCCTTCCCTTTTTCCTCGCGCATCCGCGTGAAATCCTGTCGTACACGCTCGGAAAATCGCGTTAAGCGGAACTTCGGGGAAAACTTTTCCAGACATCGAGGGCGGATATGAAAAGGACTTGGAGTTCTTGGCAAAACGGAGGAGATTGAGAAAGGATTGGGTGTTTGGGGATGACTTCGGGGAACGAGATTTCAGCGTGTTATTACTTTTCTTTTTATTTCATTTCATTTGTCAGTTTATTTTTTCATATTCTTTTTCTTTCCCGTAACCTAACGTAAAACCAAATCCATTTTATCAATTGAATTAACCGTGAAAGTGTTTCCGTTGCAGAGGTGCAAAGAGAAGCTGAACACCCTCGCTATCTCGGTAATGAATCAATGGCCAGGGGTGAAGCTGCGGGTGACTGAGGGCTGGGACGAGGAAGGAAAACACGCAACGGATTCGTTGCATTACGAGGGACGTGCCGTCGACGTGACGACGAGCGATCGGGATCGCTCGAAATACGGAATGCTAGCCAGGCTCGCCGTCGAAGCTGGTTTCGATTGGGTCTACTACGAGTCTAGGTCGCACATCCATTGTTCCGTGAAATCTGGTCAGTATTTCATTTGATATACTCTCTCAAATTATCTTTAAAACTGGAATCTTCTTGCTACACCCCCGAGAAATAATCCGGGGATGGTGTTACAGTTACTTGGAATTAACAGGTCGATCAGTATCGTAAATAAAAAAGCAATTATCCATCGATCGAAGTGTCGAGAGGCAATAATTCGAAGTAGGTATATTATCGTTACACTCCTTCGATTCGGTGGCTTCCATTAATTTCCACGTAAATTTCAATTACCACGACTACAGACAATTTACCTCGATCCAAGCAACCAACGCAATAACGCAGCAGGAACCAATCGACGTTTCGTTATTTACCTTTAGGTCGTTTCCACATTATACGCGTGTAATCGATTAATTTCGTTTGTAACGAAACTGGTAATTCATTGAAATATCAATTTAAATATGCCTAGAAGATTGCATTTGTAAGATTCACAGTGTTCCAAATTTAGCTAACGATTTTCGATTAGATCGTGTTATCGTTATCAACCAGCATTCCAGACGGAACGTGTGTTTAATATCGTAAGCGTTGAACCAGTCACGTATAGTAAATGTTATCGACAATCGTGTTGGCTTCTTAATTTCTTTTTAAATCACATAGAATGTTTACTGTTCTGTCCGTCTTATCGTCGAGGGACGATTACGATAAAATTGAATTTTTGAGAACAGCATCGAGTAATTTCCCTCTTACACTTTTGTATTTCCCGGACAAATTAAAACTTCGATCAGCGCCATCTAGAGATCAGTGTTTTTGCATTGCTCCTAGTAATAGGATTATAGAAAAGTAGAAGAGGTATCCGCTAAATTGTGCGACAAGGACTTACCTATACCTCTCCTTGGCGCACACTTTCGTCGGACTCTTCGCTCTCCTGCGATCCTAATACCAGGAGCAACTTTTTGCGCAATCCGCTAGAGGCCACTATTCAAACCTTTTACCCGGGAGATATAGAGATATAGACAGAAAAATTTCCACCTATTTATTTATTCTGGCAAATCTTAATTTACATAGCCTGAATTTTACAAATCATAAAAATTAATATTGAGTCCGGGCCATCTGCTTTCAGAATCCTCATCAGCGGCGAAATCCGGAGGATGTTTCCCGGGCAGGAGTCTGGTGCGAACCCAGGGCGGATCCACGAAGCGACTGGACCAGGTGCGACTAGGTGACCGCATCGCCGCCCTCGATTCCCACGGAGACATCGTCTACAGCGAGGTGATCGCGTTCCTGGATCGCTCGCTCGCCGAGAGGAGACAGTTCGTCCAATTAACCACGGAATCGGGCCGGGTGTTGACCTTGACGCCTGCCCATCTGGTACCAGTGGAGGGTAGAACATCAACGTTCGCCGGAAGAGTGGAGCCGGGTGACAAGATCCTGGTGAGGGATCCAGCGGACGAGAACGAGGTCGAGCATCGTCTACGATGGGACAAAGTAGTCGACACTCGACTGGTCTTCGAAGAGGGCATCTATGCTCCTCTGACGACCGAGGGCACGGTATTGGTCGACGACGTGGTCGCGTCCTGCTACGCCTACGTCGACAACCACGAATTGGCCCACTTCGGTTTCCTTCCGTATCGTGTCTGGTCTAGCGTGAAGTCCTTTTTCACTAGCAGGCTGAGCGTCGAGGACACCAGGTATCCTGACGTCAGGCAAGACGCGAGGACGCCCGAGGAAGGCATCCACTGGTACGCGTCCTTCTTGTACTGGCTGTCCTCCTACGTTACTCCTACCAGGATGCTGTATCAATGAAACCTCTCACTGATCGAGGAGGATTCTTTAGTTTTCGTTGCGTGAAACGGACCGTGAAACGCGTCCAAAAAACGCCAGCCCCGTCACGTGGTCGCTTCGAGGGAGGCAGGGTGTCCTTGAAGAGGAGGATGAGCTTGTAGAAGGAAACGTACTTAGACGTGCTAACTACATAGTACTAGAAGACCATCAGGTTTTGATCTTGAAGAGACTGTTGTCGGATCTTCGAGGAACGTACTCGATGAGTTTGAGTAAATCTTTGTGACGTTTGTTGGCCAGTGACCCATCTCCGTTCACCGTGTGACGTGTAGTATATATTAGGTACATAGGACGAATGGAAATGAAGCTTTAGAATTGTTTGAAATTTTCTCACCCGGTAGCGTGTGTACAATAATTTCTTGTTCTTCTTCATCGTTCTTTGACCAACGTGTCCGCGGACTGCGTTGTCTGAGATGGATCTGCGACGGAACCCGGTTAAATGTGACTAATTAAAAGGATCGATGGAAACGGAGGGCGGAATGTACAGGATGTTTATGTAATAGAGTTTATTTATGGAACATTTTTAGTGTGAAGCGATTTCGTTTTTTATTAATTGTAGTCCGGCGAAATGCTTGAAAAGTATTTCACGTTCAGCGTTTTTATATATCGCGGAATCTGAAGTTTGTCTTGAAAGAATTTTCCCGTTTAAATTGCATGAATGGCTTTTCCAGTTGATGTATTTTGGGAAAATATTTTGTCGGAATGTTTACAGATAAATTGACGCGAGGAACACTTGCGTTTCCTCGGCTCGTTTTTAAACCGCATTTGTATCCCTTGCTGTATTTAATTCGTAGTCGATTCTCCCCTCCCTTTGTATAGTTGTCATAGCGACAGAATTTTTATTTCGATTGGATTATCACTGATTAATGAATTAAGGTTGATGACCTTCGCGCTAGAACGATTGCTACATTGACACCTAAGTTATCCCTCCCCAGAAATTGATATATTATATATTATTATAGTAATTATTATTATATTATTAATATTATTATTATTATATTTTATTATATTATATTATTATATTATTATTTGTACGTAGCTCAAAAACAAATTATAAATTATGTATATATATGCCGTCGATAGATTGAATTAAATCATTAAACACAGCACAAATCGGTGATTTTTTAATCACCATTAATAATTAATAGCTGCATGTTGTAACAATTTTTATAATTAACATCTTGAAACTTCAATTCCTCGTCAAAGATAAAAGAAAGTTGTTTGTTGTTGTCTTTGTTGCTCCAAACTCTTTACAAAATTTGTCGACATTGTTCGAGATTTTGATTCTTTTTACCCAGAAATAACACAGATAAATTGTCTAGAATTTCCAGGGTAATCAACACCGACGCACGATGGAAATTTCAAGTGGTGTAGGCGGGAGAGGCCTGCAAAAGGTGACTTTCTCTGAATATAAATTTTACAAGGTTATATCGTTCAATTACTAACCAGTTTATTAATTTTTCAGCGATCGAGCGTGATTATCCCGCATCTACAAGAAATGGAGAAGCAATTCTTCGAGTTGGTAGCCAACGGGAATGTTTCCGACGTGAGGCAATTTCTCGAGACCCATCCGGACTTCAACATCAATGTTTCCGACTTCCAAGTAAGTGCATCTTAAATTGTAAACCGAACTAATATTCGAAATAGATCTTCTGTAAAATAAACAAAACCCGTAGAAAAATATTTACCGATCCCAAACGTTACAATCTAATCAAAATTCTTCGAAAATCATTACCGTCATTACGCTGTCCAACAGTTATACGAGCGTATAATTCAAACTGGAAGTATCAGTTGAACAAAGAGAAAGGAAAAACTATTAGTTAACAACCTCCCGTTCGGAGTCTGACCGAAAGGTATTCAAAATCTCTGCTGCGCGTCGGGAAGCTCGTAAAGATCTCCGGATTTATCTGGCATCGCCGGTTTCCCACAACATAACCGTAAGTGGTGTGGTCGGCCGTTGATTCACGAAGAAGGCCCAGGTAAAACGAGAACACGCTTTACCGTTTTCCTCTTTCCTTTGCCGAATCCACGTACTCTCTGTCAACCCCTTTTCCCTCGCATCATTTCCAATGATTTACACGGAACTGTCTGTGTTGGTTCCCGGGTTCAAAGAGTCAGCAAAAGAAGAAGAAAAATAAGAAAAGAAGGAGAAGAATCAGGCTCCAGAAACAGCGGAATCGAAGAGCAAGACGAGATCTCGTTATCTCGGATCTTCACCCTGTCGAGGTACACGTACCCCCCGTGGAATGTTACCCCCTCTTTCTCCTCTCCATCGGCTGCTCGCGTCGTCCTCTTCTGGTTCAGAGTTACCGAAAAGCCCAACCCTCGTTTCACTTTGAAACAGAGGCCGCCTTCGGCCGACTGATCATCGGGAAAGAAAGAGAGAGAGAAAGAGGGATGCCAGGAGGAAGAGGAGTTGAACTCGGATAAGGGTGCGAGTGAAACGGAACGAAAGAAGCTGGCTGCCTCCGTGTATCTACGGCCATATTTCAGGCCGTCCTTTACAAGACAATGGTTTCAGCCGAGGACCGATAAAAATTATTCAAATGACTGGTCCCGCTGTAAATTCCATCCGGGAATCCCCTTGCCACCGTGCTGGCTGCCCTGGCTCGCGCGCCACGACCATCACGGTTGCTCTCCTTTTTTCCGATGGAATTAGGATATTTATTATGAAAAATAGGAGAAATTATTCGAGGATGCCAGAATTTATATTATCGGAGACACTCGTTGGGTGCCGAATCGAATTATTGGGTGTCCACTGTGCTTTGTCAACGTGTGCCATTTCAGAAGCGTCGAAGATGACTCGAAACGCTACCCGATTCCTCCCCAAATTCTTCCGCATAAACGATCATCCGATTGTTTCGAAGGCCGCGTGTGAGACGCGGGGATCCCACACGGTTACAGCTGTCGAATTTGTAGAAAAAGGCGAGCATATATCACAAGGTGGCATTGTGGCGGTGCGTGTGGCCAGGATCCACGTCGAAAAGGCAGGATATCAGGGAATATTGTGACCGGTGTCGGCGGCAACAATGGATCGGTTCCATTGTCGGTGGCCGCCTCTGTAAACGCGCCGCAGATGGGCGACAAACGTCGTCGTCCCATTCTTCGAACAAAAAGGGAGACAGGGCCGAGAGAAAAAAAAAAGGAGGCGAAGAGGAAAAAAGAGATAGAAAGGGAAACAGATATGGAGAAGTTCGAAAGTCGAGTCGAAAAGCGCCAGTCGGGACAACGAAGAAATTCCATGATCCTGGAAAGACTGACTGGCATCCTTTTTCGCGACACGTGTAGGATGCTGAGAATTTTTTTCATGGCTTTCGAACATCGGTTTTTAACACCCATATATGGTCGACCCTTGAATTTTCATAGAAATTCTATCGGTTTAATTAGGACTTTTTAACACTTTGACTGCCCACGCTGAAGCTGTTGAAAATTCTATTAAGTAAGTCAAAGTGTTAACCCTTTGCAATCTTTAATTTTTTTTTACCTACCAACAACTCCTTAATTAATTTACAAAATAGATCAAAAAGGGGGGTTTCGATCAAATGTATTGCAACATTAAAAGACCTTTAATTATTTTAGAAATTATGTCGTATAATGTCGAGTCTAGCTCGATATTGGAGTTGGTGTAGAAAATGTGATGTCGAGCCACACTCGGCAAGGGTTAAGGGATGGGGCAGGGCCAGAGAATTTTATAATAATAGAACTTGAGATTTTTATTAAGAATCTCTATAGAAAAGGTATTTGAAAAAATGTCTATTTACAGCTATGTAAATAGCTGTATTACAAAGATAAATAGAATCCTGTTGATCCCTTTTCTAAGGTCCAAGAATGTTTCTTTTTAAAGCCTACAAGAATTCCTCCTTCGATTTATATACTATGAAATAGTAATAAAAATAAAACACACGAGTTTGACAGGACACTTCATTTTTCTCTATGCTAACAAAGTGCTTTTTCAGGGTGTCACCGCGCTTCACATCGCTGTTCACGAGAGGAATATGCCGATGGTGGAGTATCTGCTGTCCTATCCCGACATCGACCCAGGCGACACGCACCTCCACGCGATCCGGGACAACGAACAGAAGATCGCCGTGATTATTCTAAACAAACTGAACGAATTGACGCCGGGCCTCGAGTTCGTCGGGGTGACGCAAAGCACCGATTTCCCAGACGACACGACCCCTTTGATGGTGGCCGCGCAGCGCGGACACTTCGAGATGATCGATCTCCTCAGGAGAAGGCATCATTCCATACCGAAACCGCATCCACCGTATTGTAACTGCGAGGAAGTGTGCAAGTACGAATCTCTGAATTACGAGACGAATAATAATCGAATTAGCCAGTAAGGAAACTATAATAGCGCAGGTACGAGCGAGAGAGATCAGACTTGCTGACGATTGGAAAGATGAGGATGTATACCTACAAAGCGGTCATTAATCCAGCATATATCTGTCAGACCGTCGATGACCCGATTCTAGAGGCTTTTAATTTAGCGTACGAACTGAAACAAGCAGCCTCCTTCGACAAGGAATTTTATCACGAGTACAAACGTCTCTCAGAGGTTGCTTCCCTTCTTCTTCGACCTTAGAGATTCTTCATTAAAAGGATCTCTTTTTTTATAGACCGCGGCACAATTCGCGACCGATCTCATCGGATGCGCCAGAAGCGTGGAGGAGGTGGAGGTGATTTTGAAACAATCAACTGGTTTCGCTCATTCGTCCAAGTTTTTGTATCCAAGGTTGTTGTTCGCATTGAGGATTAAGCAGAGGACCTTTGTCGCTCATCCTAACGTTCAACAGGTTTAGTTATAATAGAATTTTTAATAAAGGAGTTAGTTTTATATTCCCTCCCTCCTCCAAAGTTTGCTTAGAATATAGAAAAAACTAATAAGCTTTGTCTTTGTTACAATACGAAACTTAACGAGACGAAGAAATTACAAATCTTTTGAATCGTCAAATATGAATTTCAGGTAATTACCAGCAATTGGATCGACGGATGGTACGAATGGAAGATCATGCCAATGTGGATGAAATGTCTATACGTGATATTCCGTATCTTCCAGCTACCCATCATTCTACTGATAGTTATGGTCGCCCCTAATTCGAAAAGATCAAAATTCTGGCAGTCACCGGTGAACAAATTTATCTCGTCAACAGCTAGCTACTTGGTATTCCTGTTATTCGTGTTCCTGCAATCGAACATGGATAAAAGCGAACAACTTCGAGGACCTCCTAACTCCGGTATATCAAACGATTCGACAGATCTTGAGATACTTGTTCTTGATCTTGGGATACTTCCTCAGCGTACGTATGGATTCTGATAATCTACATCGTATCGTACACTTGGGCAGCAATTCGTCTATGCGTGATACATGGACCAGGGAGATTCTTTACAGCCCCTTGGTATTGGTACGGTTTATTCGTATAGCGAAATAATTTTTTATGGATTATGGGTTCTAGAGAATTAATATAATTTTGACGTAAACTTTATTGGCGCAGGTTCGAGATAATAACGATATTCCTTTTCATCATGACGTTCATGTATTGGATAACAGCCGCTCTGGACGTGAGAATAAACGGGCAGCTGGAATTGGAGAGGAAATATTGGCACAAATACGATCCCACGCTTATTGCCGAAGGAATTTTCTGTTTGGCGACGATAATGTCTTTCCTGAAACTATTGCATATCTGTCAGTTAGACTATAATCTAGGTCCTCTTCAATTGTCTCTTGGAAAAATGTTTAAGGATGTTGGAAAATTCATCATACTTTTCAGTATTATTATTCTAGCCTTCACTTCTGGTAAATGGACAGAATTGTAATATACAATGGGTCATAGAATGATGCTCTTAAATATATTATATTAATTTTCTTCTTTATTTATTCTTTACACCTTTATTTTTAAAAATATCTTCTTCAGGTACTTGCAGACTGTATCAATACTACGACGAGATGGTACAAACAGACGACGAATCGAAAATCAAGACCCAACAGGTCAGTTCGTTCGTTAGTTTCACAGCAGCCCTGAAGACCCTTTTCTGGGCTCTTTTTTGCATGACCCCCATCGAGAGTGCTGACGTGATCATTGAGAACCTCCCTGGTGATGCAGAAAACGAGACAATTATCAATCATCATACGTTCACAGAAGTCATAGGCTACTTCTCTTTTGCTGGTACAGAGATTACAAAACACCCTTTAACACCCTCGTGTGCCACCCATTGACCCATTCTGGGTGGCAGCGAACGTGTTACATCACCTTCAATTTATAATAAATCCATTTTCTTGTCCCAGTGTTCACCTTTATTTCTGTGATACTGATTCTAAACATGCTAATCGCCTGCATGTCCAACACCTTGACAAAAGTGACAGAAAATGTGATCGTGGAATGGACATTTGGCCGAACCGAGGTTCCAGTTTCAATTAAATCAATCTCTTATAATATAAAAACAATAATTGACCAACTTTCACCCTTTATTGTCTAAGGATTAAGAAACTCCATTAATTTTATCTAATAAAATCTATATATTTATTGATCCGTAATATTAATACTTAAACGTTTCCTGTTTTCAGGCTTACGTGGATTATATGCTTACGACGACACTTCCGCCTCCGTTCAACATTATTCCAACATACGTCGGTATACAACCGGTGATCGAATACGTGAAAATATTGTTGCATCCGCCGGAGGACAGACGGGCACGATGGGACATAAATCACTGTTGTTTCATTGTTAGTGTACACGTGGAATATATTCGAAGGAAGGTCTGCCGTTTCTCATAGACGCAGAGGTATATACACGCGAAACGATGCCGTAGACTGCAATATTTCATTGAACATTGTACTGTATAAAAGAAACATTGAAACGTATGGTTTCCTTCGAGGACGTAAGAATATTGTTCGAAAGAAAACTGTATGGTTTCGAAGATATAAGCTTCCTAAAATGAAATATCGTTTCTGGAAAATTTAATCTTTCAGTTGATATATCACTTCCGTAATTTTTCCAAAATAATTACTAAACCATCTTCTATGAGAGAAAAGGCAAGACAGGTTAATTAACAAGTTCTGCCGAAGAGAAAAGGAAGCGTGAAATTAACATGTCATTTTCCAACAGGAAACTCTTGAGAAGGACTCGAACAACAACTTCGACATGGTGATGGCGCAACTGGTACAACGTTATTTCCGGCGAAAGGATAAAGAGGAAGCTGAGAACGAAATAGAAAGATTGACGAAGGAGATCGTCGAATTAAGAAGCCTTCTGAGAGATGCTCTAACCACTGATTGAAAAAAAACAATCCTAATGAGAAATTCATTTTGATACCCTTTCACAAAAGAATGCCTCGAGGAGGCTGCCCGAGTTGTTGTAATTAGTTTCATGAAAGAGAAATAACAGAGGTCCCTTTTTAAATCGTGAATTCAATTTGGAAGAAGGAAATAAGATCATTCGGAGAGAGCAAATGATGCGTCAAAGAGACAAATGGATGGTCCAATGTAATGAGTGTTCTTTAAACAGACGGGAAATGAATTTCTTCTGGCTTTATTATTCCCTCGGACAGTTTAAAACGTTACTAAGCTTTATGGAAAACTAAAAGCGTCTGATAATACTTTTTTATCATGCTAGAATCTGAATCGTAAAAGAAATTAAATTGTTGGGAAATGTTGTTCGAGGAAGCACTTCAAAGAAAAATTGAAATTATTAAACCACTTTATATAATGACATTAAAAAATTCTCAATCATGATGGTATTATAATTTTAAATATTTAAAATGCAATTATTCAACGCGTTAATATTACATTAATTTTACGCGATTGCAAGTGAAATGTTGAAATTGGAAAATGAAACAGCCGTTTAATTACAATTATAACACGTCTTCTCACCGCAGTATTTAACGTATTAACAGATGTTTTAATTATTCCATGAAACATTGTTGCAGCTGAATTTCAATTTTGCATAATTGTATCATAATTGGGAGGGCAAGAATTAAGAATAAATTTGTTTAATATGTACATAATTATATAATAATACCAGAAAAGGTGAATAATATCCATAATTTAAATGAAATAAAAATTTCAAACATCAATTCCATTGGATCTATATTCACGTTCACGTCATGGAATTAACGTAATCGCATAGAACCTCATTCGCATGTGTTAAGGGAATATCTCCTGTTAATTGTTAATTACACGACAGAGAGCTTGTAATTAACCACGAAATTATGTAGGAATTTTCATTAGCCTTTGCTTAGTACAATAAGGCACGGTCTATGAGAATAACGAAATTTTCGGAAAAGTTAGAAGGGAATTAATATTCGAAATAACGTTCTAACTATACTTCACAATTTCTGTAACATTTTTATTCATTATAAGTCCTATGTAATACAATTTTCACCTTTCCTCTTCAAGATCCACTTTTATCCATTTATATGAAAGAACTGAAAGGAACTTAATTCAGTCTTCATAACAGGAAGCTCGTTTTCTATGGCGACTTATGGATGAAAGAAACCAACCCTATAGTAGACAACCGTATTTATTATGGGAAAGAGGCAGACGTAAGAATTCTCGTAAATAACAGGGTTAACAACCCCTCAGAACCTTGGAACATCTTCAGTATCTCACCACGACTTTTCTCTTGCTATTCCGAAAAAGAAGACCCGAGAGCTTCTTGTTTTTTATTTCTCTTTTATTAAAGCGAAGAGCAGAGGTGAAAGTAACGTCGTATATAATTCTAAAACGCTAAATTTATCCGTCGACTTTATTTAATTTTATACTACTTGCCAAATTTTCCCAAAGAAACAAAGGAAGTCTCGGCTGGCAAAGTTTTCGAGTTCAGTGAATTCTCTTTTTCCGCGTCTGCTTTGAGTACCAATTAAACGTTCCACTTTCAACTGTTAACGTTGAAAGTGCTTTCAGCGGATGAAAGTCAATATGAAAACAAGAAGAGCGTTAACTGCGATACCGTGTAATCGACTGGGAAAACACGATCGAATCATAATTAATCTCGATACAAAAAGCAGAAGCTTGTAAGTTGGAACAAGACGAGTGGAGGGTTGGGGGAGGAAATTGTATTGCAGGAAGCGAACAGAAGGGTAAACTCGATTCTACGATGAATCGATACTAGAACAGAAGTGAGCAGTCTCGAGTGCCTTAAATTGCCATGGCGTCAGTTTTTTTTTTTTTTTCTCCTCTCCCTTCCTTTATCCCGTCCCGTCGGTGGTATCAACATTTAAACAACGAAATTACTCGGCCTGGAAATCGATAACCGATCGAATTCTGAGACAATTTCGTGTCCTCGTTAAGCGTCGTAATTTGAACCGAGTAAAGTGGCAATATACCCTGTCTGGCAGTGACTCGACTCGTTTATTGCCTCTTCAACTAAACTTTCATCGATCATAATTCTTTCTCTATTTGTAAATTAAATTGGAACTTGGTTTTGAAAAATGGCTTGAATATGGAATAATAAAAATAATAAAAGTAGGAGTGATCGAGGAGATAGCTTGGAGAGATGAAAAATTGATTGGAATAAAATTTTTCCAATTAAAGTGTAGAGGTAGTAAAAGAGATTTATATTTTATTGGAAATTTTACTTTTTTTTAGTTATTACAGTGATCCATCATCCGGGATTTAATGATTTATTAACTACCAGAAGAGAGGGTGTGGGATACCAATTTTATTTTTAAATGAGCAGTCATAAATAGACAAATTAAACAAAGAACTTTCTCTTTACACAAGCTTATTTTCTCGTCTCGATTGGCATCGTTGCTTTGTCTATTCCAATCAGAGAATCTGGTGGAATAAAGCACGATCGAAGAATTTCTTCTTCGGTGCAGCCTCTCGGACACCCTTAGCTTCCACCCCTTGAATCCTAATCCTGGCTCCGCAATTCTGAAGCCGCTCGATGATATTCGACCCCAGAGAGATTTGCTCCTTTCGGGATGACTACATTCATAAAAGGGAGTGACATGATCGCTTGACAAGCGAAAGAAAAAGGGAAAGAAAGAAAGATAAGAGGTGCTCGTTAAACGAGTGACAAACGATCTTTGGGGACGGAAAATTTTGTTCGACTCGAGGGAATAGAGAGAAAATTCTTCGATTGCCCTATCGTTAGCTGATATAACATTAACTATTAATTGTTACATATCGTGTCCTATTTAATTCGTTCAAATTTCCCCTGGTAGCATTGCAAACTTTTCAAAGGTTTAATCCTCTGCGTCGGTAACAATTTCAATTTCATTCCAAACCAGGTGTTTCGTATGAAAATTTTCAAATGGAAACCGTTTATCAAATATGCGGATTTCTTCCATATCGCCCGGTCTATTATTATGGAAAGTATCGAATCTATCCCCGAAGGATCATAACAGAGGACCCCAGGTTTTCCGGGGTAACTTTCATAGATAAGATTTTTGAATGGCGTCGTCAGATTCGATATCCTCGTAAATACATTGAAATATTCCATAAATGCATTTTGCACTTATTCAGAGGTTCTTCTATTTCTCCCTAAATTACCCTAAATTACAGCTGAATAAAAGTATCCAAAAAAGAACCACTCGAGGAACGTACAATTACTCACTGCGAAAACTTGCAAAAAATAAGAGAAACAGGGATGACACGTAATAAGAGTAAAAAATAAGATACTCTGACATAAACAGAAACATTTCTCGTATGGTTCTCCGGCAGGCAAAGGGTAGGAGAGACAAATGTTGCGAGGATGCGCAAGATGAACCTGCTGCTCGCAGTGGTCGCGCGACCTTCGTGCCGTCGACACCGTTCGCATAGGTCTCTCACAATTACATCCTTGTTCATTAAATAGAAAATGAATTTCATTTTCAAATGGTGCATAAAGAACCCAATTTCAATTGAAATAAAAAGTGTACCTAAAAGGTGGTATAAAATATGAACAATATACATGTAATATATATAAAGTGCTAATTGAAAAGTTTAAGAACCATTTATTTATTTATCCATGAATTTTAATATAACTCTATATACATGATTATAAAGTGTGTAAAAAAGAATATAAAGAATTCTAAATGTATCCGGGGTTCAAAGCTGCTGCATTTCAATGAACTGGAACACAGGAAAATTTACTCAGTTGCCCTGTGAGACGAATTTACATGGAAATCGTTGAATTCGTCCGAGGAAAGATATCGAGTCGGCAGGATACACTGAAGGAGTGATAAATTTCATGCGATAAATCATCGCGAGGAGAGGATCAAAAGGATAGTGGATGAAGGAGAAGAGGAACTTGTGATACTTTCACCGGACGAAGTTAAGAATGAATTTACCGGGGAGAAATTTGCATTTTGATCAAACAATTCGTATGAAGAATGAGGATATGGAAGTATACATGAAGGTAAGGTGATCTTGTGTAATTTATAGTTTCATAGGGGATAGAGGTTCGTTAAATATATTATTTGAAATAATTGGACTATTTAGCATAGGGTTGGCGTGGGTCGTTAGGGTGTTCTCCCTTCTTTTATGATTGATTAATTAACAGGTTGAGTGCTATTAAGTTTTATTAATCTCAATTTATTATCAACGTATTATTACAATTCTGATTTAATAATTAGTTCTTGTACAGTAAAAATTGCATCAACTCAGTAGCTTAAATTTAAATATGCAACCTGTCTAGAGCAATAAAAATATAACTGTGATCAAGGTAAAATATATCCATCATATTGCATGATTAATAATTCACTTTGATCCGCAATAAGCAGAGAAACGTTACTCGTTTCAATATTAAAATTGAACTTTCCTAATTAGAGGTTCAATCAAAGCCAGAATATACAGCTGTTTTTCTACCTCAATTTTAACGAGATGCTACAAACTTATTTTCTGATTATTACTCCCTACTAGAATTTATTACATATACATATGTATCTATAGTTAATGAAACATCGAAATCTGATTGCAAAACAGTCTGGTTGGTTTAATTAAAATGCCACCGATATTTCATACCATCGTTACGCGCTTATTACATTCTCGTTTTGCTTCTAAATATTTGGAAGTACATATTATTATACAGAAGTAATAATAATTTTAGAATTTGAGGTAATACAGTATTTTAAATATTAATATTACATTATTGAATTATTTTTGTTTTATCACTATTTAAAATTAATGTGCAAAAAGTACTCAAATATGGTACTGCGCTGTACATATTCAATTTCATATACTACTGTCCCCCCGCGGAAATAAAATTTTCGAATAGCACCATCTAGCGGTTGGTGTTTTTGGACTGCTCCTAATACCAGGATCACAGAAAAGTAAAAGAGGTATCCGGCGCAACTGTGCGACAAGGAAGGGGTATACCATGTAACAAAGATGGCCTACACCTTGTGACGTCATAATGGCGGCGCGCCAAGTAAATCATATTTGGCAAAAAAATAATCAATTACTCGTTTCTAAGGAACGTGTTATGCACTTTTATGATTGCTTCTTATAGTTCGGAACTAGAGTAACTTTCATGTTCAGTTTTAGCAGGATTCGATCTGTGATTAATTAATTATTAATAGAATAATAATTCAACCCGATACCAGCTTACGAGCCGACGGAATTTATCAACGATTTATCAATGATTTTTCATTCCCGTAATTAAATCATACATATTTCTGATCATAGAATGTTTCTAAGGACTTGTAGTAGTAGATACACCTCTAAATATTCATAAATGATCTACGAGAAGTTAGAAAATAACAGGAATGTATGAAGGATAGTTACGTACCGGCACTCGACAGCGACAATCGCTCCCGGGAATCTTAATAATTAATTATTTTCGAACATAATCTTAACAAATCTTACATAGGAAGATAGGTATTGAATCAAACTTCATTCTACGATCATTAACATTCATGAAATATTCACTAGAAGTTCATAAATAACCGAAAATGCAGACCATGCGCTCGCTGCATCTAGCCGACGATTCATTAATCCATTAATAATTAATTAATTACAAGCATAATATTTGAAAAAACTATACGTGAAAGTTACTCGAGTACCGAACTAAAAGAAGCAATCACAAAAGTGCATAAATTGTTCCTTAGAAACGAGTAATTGATTATTTTTTTGCCAAATATGATCTACTTGGCGCGCCGCCATTATGACGTCACAAGGTGTAGTAGGCCATCTTTGTTACATGGTATCCCTTCTCCTTGTCGCACAGTTCCACCAGATACCTCTTTTACTTTTCTGTGATCCTGGTATTAGGAGCAGTTCAAAAACGCCAAATCCAAGATGGCGCTGATCAAATTTTTAAATGGCCGGTGTAGAAATTGAGTATGAAATTGAATTCGAACATGTGAATAAGGTGGAATTCAATAAATAAATCCATCGAAAGACGATCGACAATTGTAGATTATATAAAAATAAAGTAATGGAACGTGGAAATTCTTAACAGTGTAAAAGATGTCTAATGTGTTTAATGAACTTCCTATAGAGAATGACAGTTAATTAAAATAGCATTTGAACGTGAATTTAAACTTTAAAAATGCTCTACGCGTCTAAAAGATCAGAAATGAAGGATGAACTTGTGAAAATGGGAATATCGCGGAACGTCGAGATGCTGCATATTTTATCTGCACCGGTTATTGCGTTACGACACGCATTCTCTGTATTATTACTCTTTTCGTCGTATTGCCCTGCCATTCACTCGCTTGTGAATGTTTAAAAACGAGATATGGCTGGCCCTTTCTTTTTTCATGATATTCTATTATTCGTGCCATTTACTATTCGAATGAATGTAATCTTTCGTGAAAAATTCATCAAAACGATTCATCCACGGAAAACATAACCTTATTCATGCATACTAAATACTCCATTACGGGGAATGAATACTTGTTGCTTATGTGTAACATGTTAGAAGTTTCTGCATTATTTCCCTCTGAAAATCGATTTTTTATGACAATCAAAATTCGTAAATGGGTTGTTCTGCTATAACGATTTTCGAAATTGGAATGCAAATCGATACCAGGATGAAGAGGCAATCTGATGGAATACCTGGCGTATTTACCTGTACATACACATTGCAATTTCAGCAAGTAAAGATGGAAAGAGATAAGATAATAAAGCAACAAAAATGTTTACTGAAATCAAATATAATTATCGCTTCTAATAACGTCGCCTTCGATTTCTAGATTCTATCAGGATTTCAGAATATGTACTTAGTATCTAATGAAAATCATGGTAACTATTATCGACTTCTAAAGCTGTTCTGTAATCCACGATAACGTAATACATGTTCCGATGTACATTGATTAACCCCGACAGTCTAACAAGATAGATTAATTTCCTGTGCAAATATTTTCATACCACGATCTTACTTATTTATTTTTCCATTTCTAGCGATCGAGTTATCTCAGACTTTTTTTAATAAACACCATTCCAATTGGCATAAAATTGCAACAGTTATTTAACGGTCGAACTATTTCTTTTAAAACGAGGAAAAAATGATTCTGGTATAAAGCTGAAGAAAGTTTCTTTTTCCTCTTTCTTCCGATAACTTTAAGACGAACGAGTTTCCAACAATGTTATTGGATCGAAGCAAAGGTTTCGCCATAAAATCGTTTCTTCTCTAAGACGAGAATAAAAAAAAGTATAGCGGAAGTTCCAGTCGGATCCTCCTCCCCTCGATTTTGTCGTCAATAAAAGGCATGCTATTGTTTCATAAAATCGGAAGTAACGGGTATCCAGGATGGACAAGATTTCATTCCGCAAATTGCACTCAACACTAACGAACAATACGTTCGACGATTTTTCACATGTACGTGACTGGAGAGGAATAAATTGGATTATAGAAAGAGTGGATTGATCCTGGTATTTCGCGTCCAAGAAGTTCTCGTTTCAAGGAGAGTGCAGTTTCTCATGCAAGAGTGAAGAATCTCTTTACATTTAAATTGAATCCGTGACTGCGGAATAATCGCGTTACAATAATAGCTTGATGACCCCTCTCTTCCTTTTGTTTTCATAAAACAAGAACTTAACGCAATCTGTAATATTCGACTTCTTAAAAGTTTTATATCTAACTATAAAAAAATGTAATTATAAAGTTATCTCATTTACAGTTTAATGGAACATGGATTTGAACTATGTATTAAAATTGTTGTCTCTTTTTGTTACAGATGCTCTGAACGTTGCCTAACAAGATTATAATCAAGAGATAATATGAGGGACGAGATATCAATATTTTTAGTAGTCGTTCTCGCGATTGGAGGTCTACTGATGATGAGCGCATTGTTGGCCTGTTATGCGTGTATCTTTCGAGATCTGTGTTGTAGACCAGAGGATAGATCAAAGAGAAGACGTCCTCAAAGTCCTCATAATGAACCTGATGACCCGAACAGGCCCAGATGCGATGCCATGCTCTTGAATGATATTACACAAGGAGAAAGCATGCCTACGGAATCTGAGAAAGTTTAATTAAATGAAAGAATTCCAATATGAAATTAATATTTATGCCTGACGATGATGATAGGGGATGATTAATTAATAAAATGAATGTGTCTTTCACCGTTAATGAGTGTACATACAAAGCATAAACAGAAATAATTGGACTTTTATTTCAAGTTTCTATGTTGCAAATCAATGCATTATGTACATATTCAAATACATTCATACATATATACATACGTTATGTATCATATATATATATATGCAGCGAATTTTATGTAATAAAAAAATCTCTGATAAAAATATTTAACATCATCTGGTTGCCAATAAACGGCTAGCCACGTTACATGGCTACATCTACATCTACATTAGTATATAAAATAAATTTGTATTTATATTTCTCGTACAATCATTATGCTACCCGCACTGCATATGACACACATTTCCATCCTTTCTGGTAACTCTACTTGATGATTGGTCTAAGTACCCGCGAAAAGTTTTTGTAGACATATTGTGCAATCACGAATCATCTAATAACATGTTCGACTAGCTGATCTGGCTGTTGAGCTGTTGAAGTACCGACAGTACCACTTCGCGTAAGGTCTGAAATATTTGATACATATATTACTAAAGGGTGTTCATTTGTATATTAAAAGCGATCGACGTACCTGAGGTTTACAGTGCTCTTCTAACCAGCTGAACACACATCCAGATAATTCTGCAAAATTTGCTACCGAGATGTTGTTAAATGTTTGAAACAAACGATCCATAATTGCCTGGAACTATAACGAAGTATATACATTATTTCAAACTAGAATAGTGAAAATCCTTGGAAATGATTTCACAATTAGTTTTATTCGTACCACTTGAAATTTAGTTTCGTCAGACACGCGCATTTCTGCATGTCCTGACTGAGTTTGGTGCGCTTTAACAATTTGTTCATAATTAGCTTGCATGATACGTAAGGCAACAACTTCTTTTCTCAGTGCGTTACGTTCCTCTTCTTGTTTCTTCTTTTGTTGCAACAGAAATTGTATATAATCAATGGATTTTTGAAGTACAGTAGCCTTGGAAAGTTTATAACCAGACGAATCTGTGTGTTGGCACGTGGGTACTAGATCTTGAAGAGAATCGTATCCCTTCTTAATAGCATCTCTTCTCTTCTGCTCTGCTTGAGTATGTGCCTCTCTCCTACGTTCTTTGTAACTTATAGTTGAATTTTTATTATCACTATCTTCATCCTCTATAATTAATTTTAGATAATGATTTGCTATCATGATGTTTATATTATCTTAGTTTTAGTTTACCCGTATTATGAGCAGATGAAGATGGCGTGTTCACTGATCCAGTACTACTACAGCGTGAAAATGTATATTTTTCTGTAGGACTAGATGGTTCTAGCTTCATATCGCTATCTGCTCCAATATTACCACCTCTCCCTCGCATTGCCAAATTTGCTATTTTTATAGAACAATGAAATACATTAAACACACTATTACAGCAATAGTACAATTTACAACATTAAATGCTAGGTACAAATAATATACCAAATGGATCATTTTACATTATAGAAAATGATAATAATAGGGAAACAAACTGATTTTACTTACATATTTCATATCCATCTTTGTGCAAGGTATCTGCCATTGCGTCAACAATTTGTTTGCAGAGGATTAGCGCGAAAACAGGAACAGAATGATATTAAAATGCGCACGTGGAAAGGTTACAACACAGTTGCAACAAGTAAATAAGATGCACCAAACTAGCAAGTAACAGATTACGCTTATCCATAAAGATTCGATGGATAATCTCATACATTAACAAAATACGGTAACTTCGAAGTAAGTGTTAAAACGATATAAGAAAAAAATGCAATTCCATAATAAACAACCGAAAATTATTTCGTAATAATCCTAGTATAGTATACGACCATCTTCGACAATGACTACAGACCGTAGAAGACTCTGGACACCGACCTAATAACATCAGGGGTGTTAGGGACCCCTTAACAGCGGTGACACTTTGCATACCGACATTATGGCATCCGGGGCGTCAGGGACCACGAGCACCTATACCCTTATTTTATTTTCTGCGTTCATTTAATTTGCTGTAATTATCTTCTTAGCTTATTGAATAAACTCTACAGGAGGACGAACGTGTTGATTTTATTACTTTCGTCTGCACCATTATATTACTGCATTCCTTACATCCCAGCAACTCTTACATCCCAGTATTCCTAACATCGCTGCATCCCTTACATCTCTGCATTCTTTTCATACCCACATTCTTTATATCCCTACATTCCCTTCAGCCCGACATTCTTTTCATCCCTACATCCTTACATCCCGACATTCCTAACATCTCTTCATCCCTTATATCCCTGCATTCTTTTCATCCCTTCATTCCTTACATCTCTGCACCCCTAAAACCTCTGCTTCCCTTACATTCCTGCATTCCTCTCATCTCTACATCCCTTACATCTCTGCATTTCTCCCATTCCTGCCTTCTTTATATCCCAACATCCCTTACATCCCTGCATCCCTTAGATGCCTGTATCCTTTACATCCTTGTATCACTTATATTTCTGCATTCCATACATCCCAGTGCCTTCCTGAAAATGAGTTGAAATTTTTACGGCTATAAGGCCTGCGATTTTATACAAATTTAGTTCCTTTTTTCACCACCAGAGGGCGCTGATTCGACATCGAAACTTTAGTTCACATTTTTGCCGCCAGAGGGCCAAAAATGGTGCCTGGTTTAGTTCTTTTTTCCGAAACCAGATAGCGCTGATTCGACATCGAAAATTTAGTTCACATTCTTGCCGCCAGAGGGCCAAAAATGGTGCCTGGTTTAGTTTCTTTTTCCGAAACCAGATGGCGCTGATTCGACATCGAGATTTTAGTTCACATTTTTGCCGCTAGGGGGCGCTGTTTTTCGAAATTTTTGCTAACTAACTTACCTTTACTTACCTTTACTCGAAGCAGTCTTTATAATATATTTATTATAAGGGATGCAGAGATGTAAGGAATGTAGGGATGAAAAGAATGTAGGGATGAAAGGAATGTAGGGATGAAAGGAATGTAGGGATGAAAAGAATGTAGGGTTGGAAAGAATGTAGGGGCGGAAGGAATGTAGGGATGATAAGAATGTAGGGAAGAAAGGAATGTAGGGATGTAAGGAATGAAGCGATGTATGGAATGTAGGGATGAAAAGAATGTAGGGATGGTAATAATGTAGGGATTTAAGGCATAAAAAGAATATAGGGATGAAAAGAATGTAGGGTAGGAAGGAATGTAGAGGTGGAAACAATGTAGGGATTTAAGGGATGAAGGGATATAAGGAATGTAGGGATGTAAGGGATGAAGCGATGTATGGAATGTAGGGATGAAAAGAATGTAGGGATAATAATAATGTAGGGATTTAAGGCATAAAAAGAATGTAGGGATGAAAAGAATGCAGGGATGTAAGAAATGCAGCGATGTAACGGAACGAGTGATGGAAAGGAATTCCTTAGGGGTCCGGGGCTGGGGCCCCGGTCTCCACTGCACGCGGCCCGAGGAGTGCCGGCATCGGGTGTGGCCCCCGATGTCGGCGGGGTTCGGCACAAGCCGGAGGGTCAAAGGGACCCTCCCTAACGCCCTAGTGCAGGCCACCGTGGTGGTTTTAGTGGGTAAAAATCCCACACTACCTCCGGCCCCTCCCCAGGGGGGCTGAAGGTGTCTTTCTGAAGATTTCCACCACGTTAAAAAAAAAAAAAAAAAAAAAAGGGTATTTAATGGTTGCAGAAATGTAAGGAATGCAGGCATGTAAGGGACGATGGGATGGAAGGAATGCAGGGATGTAAGGGATACTGAAATGGCCTTGGCCTATAATGAGAGATAAAATTATATAAGTAACTGCAAAAAGTAAAGTAAATGGGGGCCTCGGCTAAGACCCAGAAGAGGGATGTATTCATAAATGTTATTCCCCTTCGATGAGCTTATTTAGTAAGCAAAAAAAAATAAATGAAGTAAATTAAATAAACTCTGGAAAAAAATTATACCGGTTGTACCCTCTTCATACGGTCCTGATGTTATCCGGGGTGTCAGGGACCCCGAAGCATCAATGACTTTCTTTGCATATCGATATAATGGTATCTGGGGTTTCGGAGACCCCAAAAGCACCAATGACTCTCTTTGCATACCGACATTATGGTATCAGGGGTTTCAGAGACCCCAACACACAAATGATACTCTACATACCAAGATCATAGCATCTGGGGTGTCGGAGACCCCAAAGCACCAATGACTCTCTTTACATACCGACATTATGCTGTCTGGGGTTTCGGAGACCCCAAAGCACCGATGACTCTCTTTGCATACCGACATTATGGTATCATGGGTTTCAGAGACCCCAACACACAAATGATACTCTACATACCAAGATTATAGCATCTGGGGTGTCGGAGACCCCAAAGCATCAATGACTCTCTTCGCATACTGACATTATGGTATCTGGGGTTTCGGAGACCCCAAAGCACCAATGACTCTCTTTACGTACCGACATTATGGTATTTGGGGTTTCAGGGACCCCGGAGCAAGTAGCGAAATATAAGACCTAAAAACGAACAAATCGTGGAACTTACTTGTTCGGAATAGTGATGGGTTTAAGCGGATCTAGCGAAATATAAGAACGGAAAACGAACAAATCGTGAAACTCACTTGTTCGGAATAGTGATGGGTTTGAGCGGATCTAGCGAAATATAAGAACGGAAAACGAACAAATCGTGAAACTCACTTGTTCGAGCTAGTGATGGATTTGAACGGATCTAGCGAAATATAAGAACGGAAAACGAACAAATCGTGAAACTCACTTGTTAGGGATAGTGATGGGTACGACCTGATTCGATCCTGGGGTGTCTGGGACCCCGAAGCACCGTTGACTCTCCCTGTATACCAACAGTATGGCATCCGGGGTGTCCGGGACCCCAATGCATCGGTGGTGCTTACTATATACCGACATCCTCTTGGGGTGCCAGGGACCCCGAAGCACCTGCAACTGCATACCGCTATTTTGGCATCTGGGGTGTCAGGGACCCCGATGCATTAGTGGCGCTCTCTTGCATACCGACCTGATACTATCTTGGGTTCTCAGAGACCCCCTAAATCGTAACCCCGTGATAACAAAGTCATGTCCATTCTTTTTGTATCAGTAGTCACTACAAAAATATTATAAACTGTCAAACGGAGCCACGTGCTCGACTAGCAGACGAAAGTGAAAGTCAAGGTTATACTATACCAATCGGAGAAATTCAATCACCTATTATGAAAGAAAGCAAGTTCAGAGAGTTCGCCACTTCCTCTCTCGTTGAAGTTGAAACAAAATACAAATAGTTTTTTTATGTTAAATTACGTTTATTATAAGGTGTATCTAATATATATATTTACAATCGCTTTAATACACGTAAAACCATTTAAGATAACTCATATATTTCGGCGGTACGGTGTTTCATACCGTAACGCTGGCAATTGTATTTCCTATGCTCTTTACCTCGTGTAGGTGAATTTTAAAGTACACGCATGGTATTTCCATTCATAATTGCTTACTGTGTAGTTGATCCGGAGACCATTACTTTTACTAGTGCAGATACTGCGAACGAATATACGTATGGTCCACGGATACTTAATCATGATGAATGAAGAATTGAAAATTAAATCGTTCCCTGTGCTCGCATTCTTAACGCACAGCACTACTAGTTAGGAAATTATTCTACTTCTAATTGTGTATTCATTGTTATATTCGATTGTATATCCTTAGTAGATTCATATACGTAGTACACAATGCTACAATTTGTATCGTTCGGGGACGGATAATGTCGGAAAGCCAATGACTGTAAACTATTCATTTTAAAATAATAAACTGGCAACGTGTATCGTTGGTAATTGTAACTAGTCGAGTGGGAGTACATAAAAGTACATTTAGTTATTGATTCGTAAATACAGTTTTCCCAAGATGCGAGTGTACAGGATGCTGTTACATTCAGGGGCCTAGATATATTCGTGTAAAGAGAATCATCTCACGCGTCATGTTCCATAGTTTCTTTTTCCTCTTTATCTTAAGTTTTTCATTTGTCAGAACGCACCACTATTCGCGACATAAGCATACAATGCAAGCATTTCGAAATTTCCGACACGGCGATTTAAATTACGCCCGCCCCCGCAATCCTATTCAACATAACATTAAGTAAAATTCATACATCTTTTCTTTTTTTTTGTAGCCAAAAACGCCCCACATGTATTTTATTTGAATAAAGGTCACTTTCCCGCAGTTAAATCGATAAAGCATCACATCGTAAATTCTCATTAAGTTTGAATTTAGTATTTTTATTATATATACGTGTGTGTGTGTGTGTGTGTGTGTGTGTTTATACATATATATCACGCGCTCTTAATTCTCTTGCATAACTTCTCACATACATGCGTAACGTACTCATTTTCCGTCCGCTCGCAAAGTTCTTGTTTTTCCTCCTTTTCACCTAATTATTTTCGACATCGATAAAAAATTATATATATTTCGATAATTATTTCATCATTAATTAATTATTATATCTTATTGTTCCATTAAAGTTTAAACTAAACTGCTCTGTGTGGTATGCATGTCTGGCAAGTACCTCACTCATATATATATATATATATATAGATATATATATATATTTGTATATTTATAATAAAGTATCATTTTACTTATTATCAGTATCTTTTATATTTATTACTAGAATCATGAATAATAATTAACTCACAATAAGTCAAATTACAATTTTCCTTTCTTTGAGATTAATTAGGATTGGTGCAAATAATATAAGGTAATTGAATCTATACAGACCGATTATCGAGCATCGCGCAGGGTAATCCGTACGACTTTAAAGCAACAAAAAGTTATACATATATACGACATTTTTCAATTAATTCCATTAAACAATAATCCTCCATTGTCGTTCACCATTTCTGTCGTTTAAAAACGCGGTATGAAGTTCATTAATTTTAATCAATATGATTGATAAATTAAAACATTGGTGTTTTCTTTAAATTCATTAAAACAATTTGATAATAATTTTCCTATAAATAATTGATCCTATAAATAATTTCCTAGCGCTATTAATATTGCAATATACACCATCCAGCAAAATAAATCGCTTGTTTAACGGATGGCGCATTAGAAAAAAAAAAAGAAAAAGATAACACCCATTTAAGGTATTCAACATATTTTGCTCACTTTATCAATTCACTTTCTTTCTCCACAGCTTCGCATATTTTTAAGGCTCACAAAATTTGTATACCATTAAAATTGTTTTGATTTTATCTAGGTGAGCTGCTCTATTAAATTAATTTTTTTAATTACAAATTTACCCATTAACAACCAAAAAATTAAGGTGATATCACATGTTATTATGCAAAAGCAATTCACTTTTCAAAGCCTTTGACTTTCACTATCAAGTTCATGACTTAAACTCATATTATAAATGGTATACACAAATCATATTAAAGTGAAATTATTTCTTTGTTCAATTGAATAGATTTCGATAAATTAGAAAATTGATATGAATATTGATGAACTTGGGAGTACCTGCGCGAACCGGTCCCACTCAGTCCTCTCAGGTACTTATTCATTGATACTGCAAAATAAAATTTGCAAGAATCAGGTCTAACATCCACTCGAAATTTTGTACAGAAGTTTCGTCAAAGATAAAACTAATAGCTTCCTATCTTTGTGAAACAAGGTATTACCATGTACAAGCAATTTTTGTTCAATTAAAGCTATAATGAACAATAAATTAAGCAATTCAAATTCTTCATTATCGATTGGTTTTAATAATTTCCATACCAACAACTTGTTTGCCTGATCACTAAATGTTGCACTTGGGCAAATATGATTTTGTCAATTAAACTGTTTAAAAATGAAAATTTTATAGAAAAAGAAATAATTAGAAATATTTGGCAAGTAAATGATAAATTAGTGGATAACTTGTGTTCATGATATATAGAAGGTGAATTCTTGCTGATCACCTTGATCTGTTCTATAATGCGGATATTGTTGTAAAATAAACATTTTATAGAAAATTCAACCCTTCCGTTATTCTTGTGTATACCATCACGAGAATAATAATAATTAAAAGGGCCCGAAAAAAGTTGCTCCTCTGTTACTTTACGAACGACACGAATGATCAACTATCATTTAGAATATTTGTAGACGTCACTGTGTGTGACAAATTCGTCCGTAATAAAAATAGGAAAATTAATCGCGTCAATTCCCTTCGCGCGGTAACCAACATTGCTATAATTTTCATTTCTTTTTCATTTTTCAAAACGAGGTTCGTTGCGCGAAATGCAGGACGTTCAGGAAAGAATTTTGTACTTTTCTAAGATCATTCGTTCGCTTGCGTAAAGAAACAGTTATTTTAAATAGAAAGACCTCTTTCGAAAACCCAGTAAAAATGTTAAGACAGATATTTTTTTTGTACCATGATCAGAATCGATTTATATCTTCGAGCGTTTAACCTGACGTGACTTGGCGGTACGACGAGGTTTCTTTGTAGCATCGCTCGGTGCTTCCTCTGCCGTATTGGATTTTCGTTTTGAAGATAATGAAGGCACAGGAGCCTTTGGTGGTGCCATTTCCACTGTCGCCGGTGGCGACGAAGGCTGTTGTGTAACCGTTGGTTGTGAAACAACTTCGGTAGGACTCTGCGCATCTGTTATAGGAATGAAGTCTAATCCTTCGTCGATCGTTTCCGTTATTACGCCTTGATTTGTTAAAGCTTGTAGATCCTCTGACGGTACTAACATAGACTGACCGCAGACTACGCACACCGGTATCGCTGGAGATTTAGATCGCCAATACTGAAGCTCCGTCTTACATTTGTTCAATTCCTACAGAACATATTTATATCGTGAGAATGATTTGGTAACAAGGAAGGTATCGAAAAATTATAAAATCTATAAATCTTCTACATATATCTTTTCCGCTACACGTTATTCTTACAAGTACCAAGTGTACCTTAGTAAATACCTGTAGGAGTGTGCTAAATTTGCGAGATGTCTCTTCGTTCTTTTTATCGTTCTCGTCGAGGCGCGTGGCATATTCAACGATTTGTTTCTGTTGCTCGGCAATTTTTGATTTGCAACTCCTCAAATCTCTACGCATTAACGTTAACTGACTATTATATCGTTTCATTCCTTGTTTAATCTTCCGGATCCGTTTTCGTAACACCATGTTCGATTGTGGTGGTGATACGCTAGATTCTAAGAGGCCAGGATCATCCGACGAATGTGGTGGAGAACCTTCTTCCCCGCTATTGTTTCCTCCTTTACCACTCCCAACAGTCAGAGGTGTAGAATCCAGGCACATAAATGGTTTGTTCACATTACTAGAGGCTAAAACATTTAAACAGAATATATACAATATAGTGTTGTGCAAAACTGTAATAGAACACAGCTTAATGTAACTTCAAAAGATTTAAAAATCGGGCATTTTTGCTCACAGGAGAACGTTCCAGTAAGATCTAAGAAATCAGCTCCAAAGTAAGGAATTTCTGGTAATGTTGGTTCGATACGTTCTTTAAAATACTCCATAGCCATAGTACTTAAATCAAATAATTCGTCTGTTACTTTATATGGTCTGGCTAATTTTGGAGTAACTTTTATATAATGTAAAATACGATAAACTTCGTCTAAAATCTAAAATTAGAAATTAAACTTATCAAGTGTATTTAAAAACAATATATTTTTAATCCTACAAACCATAAATAGTTTCATTTACCTCTCCAGGAAAAAAGCAACAATGTTTACGCTCAATGTGTTTGCCAAAACTCATTTGAAGCAAGGTGAGACGCATATGAAGAGTTTCAATAATGTCAGATTCACAAGCTAATGGATGATTACGGCGAGCAGATTCACGTCTCGGCATCTGTGATTTAATTGCCTGAAAACGACTCAACATCTGTGTTTGAAGCTTCTGAAATGTCGAATTTAAAATTGAACCACAGACACGATCCATCTGATGGCAAACCTGCGAATAGAAAAGAACATATTCGTTTATATACTAGGTTAAGTATTTTAAAAGTTGTATAAAATATTGTATACTGTATTTTTCGCTTACTGGACGTAAATGAGCCACGGTATTGTAATCCAAATAGCTGAAAATCTTTTCAAGAATTTCAACCGGTAAGTCAAGGAGGTTTAGATTACTGTAAGAAGGTGGCTCAGAGACAGATGTTCCGCTATAAGAACTAGCCATTGTTGCAGATTGATGTCTTCTAGATGAATTTACATCAGCAATCTCAGTGACCGGTCCACCCCCATTGCTCGCTCCCATACTACTTGACTGACGAGTTGATACCATATTTTTTATGTTCTTATTTGCTCTGCTTCAGCAAAACCCTGCAAATTTACCATAAAGAAAGATTAGAAACAAAACTGGTTGGTATGCTTAAAATATTGTCAGGATAAAACAATAATTAAGAGACCTCAGATACCAAAAATCAATACACAATCAAAGATTATTCCTTTACTTTCCTATATTATAAAGAAATTGATCAAGTATAAATACAACGAAATTATTTGCCAATTCATTCGTACATTTTTACGAGAAACATACTCTAAAATGTACTCGGAATAATTGTGACAAAAGAATGTCAGAAAATCTCGTCATAACGGAATATCCCCCGAAATATCAAAATAGGAAACAAATTTCCAGTATAACATAGGAAGATCTTGAACTCGTTAAATAAGTTGCAATCGTTCTCATTGGTTTTTAAAGAAACGAAACACGATATAGCAGCAGTTACATGAACAAAAATCAACGTGAAAATTGTTGAAAAACGAAAGTTGAAATTCTTTACGTACGGTGGAAAGTTTGCCAAGAAAAATTCAATTTACGAAGTGGAAAAAAAGCACAGCGACACACGAATACAGTGAGTGTACAGTATCGACGGATACCTGGAGATCGGCACCGTAAGTGCGATCGCCGAATGTCTTCGTCGACGCTGCAACGATGAAGTGAAAAGAAGAAGAAAAAGAAAAAAATACAAGATGTAGAAAGAGATTGATATAAATGCAAGATATCTCAGCGCGCCACTGTAACGGCCGTGGCGTGTTATGCACACAACCACGACAAAGTTGTACAAAGCCCGATGGAAACAAACAGAGGGAAACCGGGTAACCGTGCGCAATCGATGTACCTAGGACATTTCTCTCTCTCAATGAGGTTCAAAGAGGCTGCGTACATTCGAAACGTAAAGTAAACGGGAACAAGTATAGGTGGAACGATAAAAAAAGAAGAACGATCAAGTCAAGAAAAGATCACATACCCCCTGTTAAATGACGAAAAGCAATCACTGTATCCGCGTTGGTGATTTCAGCGACATTTTGACGGAGACCCCTTCCTTCTCTTCGCGAACCCCTGTTTCAACGTTCTCGTTCTCGCTTCGTTTCACTATCGAAACTTTGTCTCGTTTCGTCTCGACTATCCCTATCGCTCTCGTTTCACCGATGCTTTTCTATGCTTCTCTCTTTTCCGCTTATAATCCTCGTGTAACTATGAACACGCACCAACACGTATCCATAAATTGCACCCCGGAAAAAAAGCCCGCGCGTGTACAGTCGAGGGAATATTATAAACTTCTTCTTTTTTCGTTACCTATCCACAAGACCTGTTTCTCTTCCCTTCAGAAAATCGCCGTCGGGTACATAGGCTTTTTTAGGTCTATAAATACCAAAATAAAGGATAACGATGTCACTATCTTACGAAGCTGTTTCGCTTGTAACCAGAGTGCGGCTACGAGAGAAACGAAATCTTATAACTTTTCTGCGATTCGATTTAACAGTGAATCCGGTCGCTTTTGTTCAAGCTAGAATAAAGATCAGCGAACAATCAACGCCGACGTCGACGATTACGACTATTGCGACGACGACGGCGATCAAATGCACATACATACATATGTGTAAAACTAGTATCGTTGCTTTTGCTCAACCGTTTCCTCACATTCCTTGTAAACGTACCCACCGACTTACCAACGTTCCTCGATTGGTCAATTTTTCAAGTCAGTTTGCAACGAGCGCTATTCTGACATTTTAATGGTTATTTCACAATTTGTGTAGGCAGAGACCATCTCTGAGCTTTAATGATATACATATGCCCGTTACTGGAGTAGCGTTGTGCAAAGCAGAGAAACTGTACATACAAATTTTAGTTCTCGACTACTATTAGCGACATCTATAGATAGCGCTGATGGATCGGAAGAGCGTATAGTTTAAATCAAACACAATTTAACAATATTCCATTAATTTACAATAATATGAAGTGTCCAAGATACGTATTGACGTAGATGAAACTATTTCTGAGTCAAATCTAAACAAAACATATAATTTTTATTTTTGTTTTTGCAGTTGTGCGTATACATACCTGTGATCAATCAAGTTTTGAAATGTATTATTTTCTTTTAATTCAAAAACGGACAGAATTTTTCGATAGACCTAATATGTTCTAGACTTGTTTTCATAAGAGTATGTAGGTATTTAAGATATTTGTTCAACCATTTTACTTTTTGCGCGACTAAGTATAATGTCAAGAGTATAAAAATATCTTGGTTGTGACCGTACCGAAAAAGAAAATACTTTCGGTTATCTATCTTTAGCATTACTGAAAAATATATGGAGTTTATATTTACGTTGCAACTTAAAGTAAAACTTAACCTATTTTTGAAATCTGTGAAAAAGTTGTTTTGCATACATTAGTTTCTCTTGTCACGAATAAAAGACAGCTCATCAAGAGATGATTCGATCATTATAAATCAAAAGAGACGGTGATCGATAAGTCTTTAAATAATCTACGAGCGAAGGTAGAAACAATTTTACACCGTTTTCGATCTAGAGAAGCACTTGAAGTTTCCTGTATATCCCGTGCGCGATAGATCGCGCTCAGAAAATAAAAAAAGGAAAGGAGAAGAAAGAATCACTAGACCTGTTCCTGTCGTTCTAAAATAATTATCTAGCTGACCTTTCGCAAAGAAATCCGCCTTTGCCCTTGCCTTCTTTCCAAATAAATTGGCCGAAAGATTAACCCGAAACAGCAGTTTCTTGTAAATACATATGTACATACACACGCGTTGCATAATAGTTGCGAAATTGGGTCTAAGAATCATGCTGCGGTTTTCTTGAAACTTTTATTCCGAAACGTATCAAACGAGGCGACCTTCATTAAATATTTCGAAGGCTCGTTGAAGCGCCGCCGCTCACGTTGTCGATATTTCATACCGTTTATAAGGAAATGCAAAAAACACCCTGATGCCCCGCCATACATAATTGTTTTTAAAGCGTTCGGTCTATACCGTGAATGTGGTTAACAATGAATCAGTTAGTAATAATATATAGCTGTAATTTTTTAACGATAATTGATACCTCGTTTATCGCCAGCATATTTCATTTCAGAGTGTATCAAAAAAAATACAGACACACCCAGTTCCATTAAGATAATTTTAATTATAGATTGGGACATTATCATAATATATGTATAATCTATGGTATTCTATTAAAGAATAATATATTTGCTAAATTTTCCTAATAACACGTCAGTGAAGAAATCATAGCATTAAATATTCAAACTTTTCGAGGTTTTCGATGAACGTGGTAGTTAAGGAAAATCGTTAGCGGAAGTACGTAACCGAACGGAAACCGACACATCCAAAATACAATAATGAGCTCTTACGAGCGTTAAAGTACCGCAAGCTATATGGCTCACGTACCACAAACATCTCAAATAGGACCCCTTCCTTTCTTTCTTCCCATACTATTCTAATTCAACTTACATATTTTTAAACCTTGTTTTGCTACTTTTATTTAATATCACGCAGCATTGTTGTCGTTAATGCAGTATCGGAAACGTACTTATCAATGAAACAAAAACACTATCTGAAATTAATTCTTCGAGTGAAGTTCAGAAGGCGATAAAGTCTAAATAACAAAACTGTGAATAAAAATGAGTATGCGTATGAGAATAAAAATTCCCAGATTCATTCTTAAGAATTCCTCGTTTACATATATGTATACATTTAGTTTCTTTTTTATTTTCCATATACAAGATTATAAACAAAGAAGTCATTGAACCGATGGGACATTGGTAACGAGTTTCTAGAAACTATACCCGTATCAGTTTCTGGAAGCGGCAGCTTTCTGATATCATAGAAGGATTCTGAGTCATCGGAAATCACGATCGGTCCCGTGTCCCTTTCCTGGCTTTCTCGATATCCCGATTACCTGGTCATCAGGTAGCCAGCTCTGTCTGACTGTCCGTCTATGAAATTTTCTGCACAGTCGATAGGCCACGGCGAAATAAAAGCGGTCGTCTCTTATTTAACATAGCCGACAAGGCAGCCAGTGCTCAGTCGACCACCGACCGTATAACACAGAGTATATTCACATTTCTTAAGTCAACGTATCGGTAGACCGGCGTTCCGTAAACGGTGTTAGACAGTGTGAAAAGTGACAGTTCCACTCGCCATGACTTTCTTAATTTTCACCATAGTTCCATTATTCGTATCGAGTAAGTGGTTTTATTCTTCTTGGGTTCCTTTGAAATTCGATTTGGTCTCTCCCACGGTCTGGTATATTAAGAGTGATTTTTTTATTGAGGAAATAAAGATATAACGATACCGTGGATTTTTAATTTTAATCGATTTTTATAATTTCTTTATTTAATACTTTGACGATCGTGGGATTCCTGGGATTTAGATTTAGATTTTTTATATTTGATCACAGGATACCGATTGGATTTCATTTTTAATTAGACATAATTCATGGTACAAAGTGTAGAAGAGAGTTTTCAATTTTATAAATGAACAATTTTTTGAAATTTTATATCGTTAGAAATATTAATAATACATTTTTACATCATCGATTGATTTTCTTCTGGCTCGAAACGACGTTGAAAAAAATATATATATATATAACCAAATAACACTTGCAGTTTATTTTAATATTCTACGCGTTTTGGCATCTGTCCACGGTGGTTGCTTCTAAAACAATTATATGCACTTATTGTTATTAATATCACGAAATCACTTAAGATTCATGAGGGGAGCCGGCTGCATAGCCGGTGCATATGCAACCTGGTCAACATTGCATCGTAGAAACGGTATGCAAATGACAATTAGAATAACGTTAAAGATTTTCATTTAAACGGAAGTGTATATACAAAATGAGGGAAGTAAAAGCGTTACATAAAATTCACGAAAAGGGAAAGCCAACTATCGCCATCGTACACCGTGTAATTCTTAGATTCATAATTACCGCGATGAAATCGCCGTTCATTTTTTATTCCCTTTTTTTGTTTTTTAATTAGATACAAGAAATTATTTCATAGCAACTGGCAGGAATTAGGAATCAAGGAGGATCTTAGATCCAATAGAATATTTTCATTCCAAGTTTAATTATAACAAATATAATAAAAAAATCTACACGATTGAAATATAAATCTACATTGCTTTGGATTAACGCTGCCTTTTATAAATCAGAGAGCCTTATATAACATTTTGTACCACACATGTTCATATCTGATCCAACGTGTGCTCGTACTATGATGCGATTTAATGCAATTAACGAATATTACAATTAATGCCTATTAAATTAGGCAGAATTTTATTTTTGCCAATTATTCGTAAAAATAGACCAATGCCGGCTAATCTAGTAATTAGAATAAGATGAGATAATACGATGTCCCTCGAGCGAGCGTGGTTAATTAACGCAATTTACCATTTAAGAAATCGAAATTTACAATTAACGCTTTTTCCTGAATTCTACGATGGTCGTGTTTATTTTTCTTTACTTCTGCACGCAATCGATGATGAAGGAAAGAAATACGTAACACGGATGCTTGTACTGTAACAATGTTATTTTCAACATTGTGTATTTTGTTAAGATGGAACTTCTTGGAAAAATTTTTATAAACATTTTTAGCTGTGGATAGCAACCGAGGAGTATCATGGAATTTTTTTTCTCATTCAATTTACTAAGTATAAACTATTTTTCTTTTTCATGGAAATTTTGTGCCTCTGATACGCGTAATAGGTTTCCCTAAAGTATCTATTATTTATAATTCATTTAATGCACCTTGTACACGAATGCACGAACTCTAATGCAGTGTTATCATACAAACTGTTTTGAAAAATTTCACTTTCCAATATAGAAAATAGAGGTGGAAAGCGAAAAATTGTATAAACGCAACATTTTATTGCAAACAGACTTTATGTTCAAGAATTTGTTATGATAAATTTTCTGTTTCGTGCGTGATAAAAAATTGCATCAACGAGGTAATTTTCACAGAAGCTAACGATTAGAGAATCGTGCGATGGGTGTTGATTTATCAAAAGAATAGTGCGTTTTGATGTAACATGAAACTTTATAATCATCGTTTTCGATCTATGATTATGTTTGAAATTAAGCTGTACACTTTAGAAAGACACGTAATATCCATAAACTTAAATGATATCGTTGATAAAGTGCATTTGGCATAATTTTCTGCATGCCACGTGTTGTGCAACCGTCATAAGATTTTTCAGAAAATTAAATTGTAATTAGTACTCTTGATTTACGAGATTTCGATCATTTATTATCGTTTTCACGTTTCCTTTTATTATCTTATTTTGAAGTAATCATTTAATTAATCAAAATTAGATAATAAAACAAGTACTAGAGAAATCTTTTGTAAGATAAGAGAATACGATTGAGAGATATATATATATGTATGATAAATTATTAATTCCATTATTAATTGCAGTAATAAAGTTTGAATAAAAGAAAGCGCGTTTCAAAGTCGTCTTGACATTGATACGTCGAATTATAAGCATTGAATGTTTTAATAAACGTTTGAGACTTTAGACATGATATAAGAAACTTTCAACGCCTATTATACAGAACGTGATTTCAGTGCATACGTGTAACCCTTTCCTTTGTAAACGATAAGCGAAATTCTAGAAGCCAATGATAAACTTTGCATTCAAAGAATTATTATTATGTCCTCTGGTATTTAACCCTTGTTACGTCTGAAGAACCAGAGACCTTGGTTTTTATTTAGTTTTGAATTTTTTAAGAAAAATTAATAAATTGATAATTAAGAATATATAAAACTCTCTCAAGAGTTTATAATTTTATTGTAATTAAGAAGAAACCATATTGATTGACAGTTTCAGAAAAAAGATAATCACACAATTAAGATATTAAAATAGATAATAATTCGAAATATAAGGATTGAGATGTTTCTTCATCTAGTGATCCCTAGAACGAGCCGTCTAGTGTTTTTTTTCCTAGCACAAAAACCCCCGATATTGAAACACGAGAGATAGAGGATTATTATTCTTCGTTACACGTGATGTTATACTTGATTTTGTAGACGATAAATATTATAATTAAGAAAATTTCTGTCAAGGTCCGTCGTAATGAAATGGAGATGCATTGAACTGTATGCACGAAGATTCATGAATTTTCTTGTGCTTTGTTTTTTAACAACTCGCCGAGGGTCAATTTATTATACACGAACGATATTGCTTATTCAACAATAAAATTATGATAATATAAGATCGTTTAGAAATTTAAAATAAAATCTTCATAATTATACTTACATTTCGAGTGGCTATTTTCAATGTGCCAAGTGAAACAGAAGTGTGCTGAGTACGATCAAATCGTGTCAGTACATATTATAAATGAATACTAAATGTATGGACAAACGATATTCCAAAAATACCTCGTTGGAATGTTGTGGAAAAGAATTATCTTTGAATGATAAGGTAATAAATTGATTGTACTTAATATATTAATGACAAGATCAGGTTGATTTATATATCTAATCTTTGTTTATTTTTGGATAAGAAGAACCAATATTAATAATCTTACATAATTAAAATAAACAGGTGATTCTATTTTATGGATGTTCCACCTTTGATACACTCAAAGCAAACTAAGAAACAATGAGATTCTATAAGATTCTCAGCTATATTATTGGATTGTTTAGAAAGTTTATAGCGGAATTTAATGATAACATCGAGGTGGAATTTTTATGTAATCAAATCACAAGATTTCTGAAATTTCTCTAGTTGTATAATATAGGTCGTTTTTCATTAAGACCTTTATTAGGTGCGTTGCGAAAATCCGAGTATCCGGTGTATTCGAATGCTAATTAAGTTGTGAGAGATTTTAATATTGGCAAATTTTACCAACGACCTAATAGTTTCTTCTTTGAATCTAACCGCAAAAAAGTAATCGGATGAATTATTTTATTTAGAAATCTCCTGTTCAACATTGACGCATCCAAGGCCTTTGAAGCTTTCCCTGTATTAAAAACGCACATAACGAAACATAAGATCGCCGTCAGTAGATATACGTGCTCTCGTTTTCATCGTAATCCACGATCAAGTTACATGTATTTAACAACAATTATCTTGCATAAGAAAAGGACAGTTTCAACATTGCTTAAAGTTATTTAAATTAGTTTATAATCCTGAAAACGACCCCCCAGATGGGTTTCCTCTCTGACTGAAAATAATGTCGATCCTAAGAAAATCCTATTCGTCATTCTACCACATGTGTCGAGCATATGTGTAGGATCTGGAAACACTAGTTATTATATACGATTTATCTTCAGTCAGAGAAAGGAAAGATACCGAGCTTATTCACTAACCGATAATCGAGGAAGAAATGGTCTACTTTACTTTTTCACCGGAAATCTTAAATGTTACCGCCTTGAGTCATATGAATAATTCATATGTGAGCGATTTAGCAATTAGTGCGGCTAGGCATGGCATTTGCATAATGTGGAAGTTAAAGATACATAGTCAAATTTTGTTTAGGTTTACCGAATTATCAATTATTAAATTTCCAAATTACTAAATTACCAAATTTCCAATTTAGCAAATTACCAAATTATCAAATTTCCAAATTATCAATTACCAAATTTCAAAATTTCATTTTTTTCGCTGCAAACATTTTACTATACAGCGAATAGAATAAACTTATCGTAGTTTCACGTTTGAGAAGAAGTACTTGACGTACCGGTGAAAGTCGATTCACGAAAGATTCGAATCGAGCACGGTGTTGCATTCAACTCGTCACAGATGAATTATTCCAAGACTCTTTTATTACGAATAAACATCGATTCGTTGCTATGAATTCGATTGAAAGCGATTATACCGTTACCTTTGACATCGAACGTTTAGACTGATGCATACCTGTCTGACTTGCTGATGAATAATTGAACGTAAACTTGTTCAACGTATGCAACAAGGACATTTTTATCCATGAGAACCTGTTGTACACAATCATTTTCTTTGCCCTTCTAGATAAACCGTTTTCTATTCTTCACTACACGACAGAGAAAAAAGTTACCTTTTATTAACGATCTTTCATGATTTTCCATAAACACTTGGCGATTAACGATAATGAGGATCTCATGATTGTTCGTCAATTACGCATAAATACATACGCGGTTAATTAAAGGCAACGTTCGTTTAAATGGCGATATTTGTATAAATGCAATAACGTGTAAATGAATTTGTTTGTTCACTGATTGCAGGTGTGCTGGCCAATAATTTCAGCTACGATGGAAGCAATGGTGAGTCAATTATTATGTTAATTGTTCAACCACTTTTTTTCGAGTGACGTCTCGTTAACGTCAATAACTGTTGAATTAATACCATTTTCGTGGAATCGTTGCATACTTGTAAAACATTTACTCTTCGAGTTATAATTTTATTTTAATTCACCTGATTTTCATTTCAACCCTTTTCAACCCTTAAGTATCACAGAGTCAAAATTGACTCTTTATCTTTGAATAGATTAATTAGAAATATAATTTCAAGAGGTAAATCTGACCCATCTGGCTCCGGAATTTCTTCTATTATTTTATGGCGGAGGCTCTTCACGAAAGGTTTTCGAAACGCTAATGGACCATCCTTTCCAGGTCCGTCTCATTGGGGCAACGAGTATAAAACTTGCCTGGGGAAATTCCAGTCTCCTATTGACATAGAAGAAAAAGATGTAACCACTACCACCTTTCCGCCACTGCAATATTCTGGTGTCCATCGTTCCCATACAGCCTACATGACAAACAATGGGCACACAGGTATGAAGCAACAAGGTCAAGATATTGACGAGTACGAGTAACCCGGCGACTTTGTTGAAATAATATGTACACAGAAAAGAAATGTAATGCACTGAAAAAAAGGTTCCATACCGTTACATAAAACGTTTCAAGTGAAAGGAATTTTTTCTAAAAGGAGAAAAAGGAATTGTAATCTAAACGATATTAAACAGGGAGAAATTAACTGAGTAATTTTAAATATAATTATTCTTAAGTGAAAGAAAAAGCTACTCAATTTTGCAAGGAATTTTATCCATGAAAGTTTACTTAGAAAGCGTAGAAATTTACTTATTCGAAGGATAAATAAACGATACGACCGTTTAATGGTATTGTAACGTTATGCATAGCTAGAGTAATTTAACAATCGATAAGTCTTACATACTTATCAGAAATATACTACAAGATATTATTCATAGCGTTCAATTAACATGTAACTCCCTCTTACATTATTTATCATAGTGTATACTGTTTAGAAATTTCTAGTCACCTTTGCATAAAAATAAAAATTCAACAATTTCAATTTCCTCGTAATGGTAAATACTGCGCAGTACAGTAAGAAAATTATCATTTAAACATTCCATGCGAGTCGTACGGGTTGTAATATAAAATCAACGTCGAACATGGAATGTTAAAATCGTTTTCAGGAAAGCGTACAATTTCAAAGCCTATGTAATGTTCGTTGCATTTGTTACAAACGTGATTCGTATCCTTGAATAACTGCAAATTAACGTTGATTATTGCACGACTTAGACATTGTCTCATCGTAATTAAGATAAACGTTCGAGAAATGTGTAAAAAGCAAGGCTATTCGGTGCAGATAAAAAGAAATTTTATGCTATTTGTTTAGTGATGATTCAAAGCTTCGACAATGAATTGCCTACGATATCCGGAGGACCCTTAAACGGTAGCTACGTTTTCCAACAACTTCACTTCCACTGGGGACAAAACGATAATCTGGGATCCGAGGATCTCATCAACAATCACTCGTTTTCCATGGAACTTCATGCTGTTTTCTGGAAGAAAGAGTACGGTTCATCGAATAAGGCAATGAATCATTCTGATGGACTTACTGTACTGGCATACTTGTACCAGGTAATGTACAAATATTGACAGTACATGTTTCTATGCAAATATTGAAATTGATTAACGATAATTGGATACGTAAAGCAATCCCAAACGAATAATAATTATAAACAGTTTAATCTTCATTAAGATCTCTTATTGTATTGTAATCTCTTCCTACATATGTCTTTAGGTATATTTTTTGGATCTATTTTTCCCTAAATAGATTCTCTTCAGATTTGAACCCTAAGAAAATAAATAAAGGAAAAGCGCCAATTTGTGGATCTTGCTTCGTCAAACAAGATCCATGTTCTATTTTGAACGTTTACATCTCAGGAAACGCGTTCAACTACACTTGAATTTATTACATATTTAACAGAAAATGTACATGTTGCAGGTCGCCGATAAACCGAATCCAATTTTCGATCCCATCGTGCCACAGATACCAGAAATAATGACTGTTGGCAATAATATCACACTGAAGGATGACAATATTTTGAGCAAATTGATCGCAGCTGATATCGAATCGGCCCAGAATTATTTCACGTACAGAGGATCGTTAACAACACCCCCGTGTTTGGAGATCGTTCAATGGATTGACTTCATAAAACCGCAATTTATATCTCACGAACAGGTACTTCCTGTAAAAGCCGTTAAGTTCAATGTAAATTCTTTACACGTACGCGTAAGGAGGCTTTTAAAAATGTTTGATTAAACTTTAGCATCGACTAACTGTAAACACGAAGAAGTGCTGTACAAATATGTTCTGTAAATGCTTCCTATTGTGCTCTAATTATTTAGACTTAAATACTAGAAAAAATATTTTTTTTTTTTTTAGTAAGAGAGCATGGTTTCTGTTTATAAATGGCAAGTCTCATTTTCATAAATTAATTTAAAAAACCTTGATTTTTAGTTGGCCGCATTCCGCAGTGTCCAATCTAGCGATGGTACAAATTTAACTCATAATTTCCGTCCGGTTCAACCGTTGGACGGTAGGGTGGTCTATCGCAATATTCCTTCCGGATCCACGGATACTTCCGTGTCAACGAATCCGACCCTAGCCCCCGAAACTACAACTACACCCCCTGTAACGACTACAACCTCAAAGCCTGAACCAACGACTAAAGCTCCAAATCCTGAACCAACGACTAAAGCTCCAAATCCTGAACCAACGACTAAAGCTCCAAATCCTGAACCAACGACTAAAGCTTCAAAGCCTGAAACAACGACTCCACCGATTGCTACAACGATTCCTTCGAGTAACAAAACTGACAGTTCTAATAATGGACAACAAAGCATGTGGACCGTATCACGTTCGTATTTTATTTTGATCGATAAATTTTATAGACACTGTTTACGATACGATATTAATTTGTTGTCTGATTTTTATTGCAGCTTTTGCAGTGATACTTGGATTAATTTTTCTGCTACCCTGTCAGTAATATACTGGAGACTCTAGTCAATCACTTTGACTGTATATGTAATTTAAAGTAGGCAATAAGCAATTTGAAGTATGTATTTACTTGAATGATTTTGATGAAAGTAGATGTTATGTATTTCCTATGATGCATCTATGTAAGCAGATTTTAGTAAATACATATTTCAAAATTATGTATAAGATACTTGTAATACATAAAAAAAAATAAATGTCTTTGTTATTTTTAGTTATATATGTACTACTGATATTTATCTATAGGAATATTGTGAACATTGTATATATATAGAGTATTCTTGTACTGACTGATTATAAGAGTTCTTATTTCTTGTCAGAGCTAAGCAGTAGAGATAAAGAAAGACAGTAAGCAAATTGATCACCTGTACTTTGATAAGTAAGAAAGATAAAACTGTTAATTAAAATATTAAGAATAATATAAGATGGAGCTTTTTTCAGAAACATTGGTGTATGTCTGTCTAACAGTTCCTACTGCTGCCATAACGATGTATTATAATCAATTACATATGTAATAAGACTTGTTCACAAGTGTATGCATGTGAAACATATTGTGTTAAAATAAATTGTGATTTAGATGATAATAAATACAACTATTATAAAAAGGTATCATTACGGTTTTTTGTATGTACAAAATTATTTAAATATTATGATATAAAAATATGTAGAAAGTTATTAATACCCTCAGGTGGGTGATTCAGTTTGATCTTTAGTTGCCATATTTACTACAGCAGCTAAATCATGTTGTCCTTGCTTAAGTCGATCTCTTATAAGTTCAGCTATTGCTTTTTGGGTTCTCCTTTCCAATTTTTCTAACTTCTTAGCAACATCTCGTTTTAAATCCCAGTCTGGTTTTCTAGGAGCAAGATTACTGATATCCTACAGAATACAATTAAATAGATTTCAAACGGAAATAGGTATTTCAATTTCATAAACAATTGTTTACCAATTCCTCGATGACAACTTTTGTATTTGCAGCACTCAACTGATCTTGTACTTCCTCTTCTACATTCCCGGGTTTGGCATCGTCTAATATTTTATCCTTCAGACTATCGTCTTGTGGCTTGTAACTTCGAAACTTTGGTCTGTCATTATTAAACAAAAATAGACAGCAATAAGTATCGTTGTTTGAGGTTAAGACAGGTTATATTCGAAAGCACTTAGAAAATCCACTGGAACTCACTTTGGCAATTTACTAGCAATTTCATTTCTATTTTCCTTGTTATCTTCAGTCTTCCTTTTTAAAGCTTGCAAACGTTCTTTTCTTTTTAAAGCTTCCTCTTCCAACGAACCTATTTTATCCTCCGCCATGTTTATTTTGATGCGACCGATGTAGATGACGCACTATACAATCCTCGTGTTTGAGTAAGACTCGTGATTGAAATATTATCGTTATATATTGTGCAAAACATTATAAACAATCTAATGATTTAAAATAATTTTTAGTTTTATTTCATGTGTACATTATAAAGATCCAAATCGAATACTTAAAGACTGCAGAGTGAGATTCTTAAGAGTCAGACCAACTTCTGCAATCTAATAGCAGGTGAAAATGTTACATTTTATTTTTTAAACGAATTAGTTTATTAACATTTATACAAAGATTTGTATAATTTGGCGTCAGATAAATTACAAGCAAAACTTGTCGATTACGTCTAACGTATTCCTACTCTTATGTTATACACATAGTAATATGTAACGTAAATTTAAATTTCAACAGACATTCGAGGAATCACGCTCACGCACGTACGAACTGTATGCATTTCATTTTAACGATTCCTTTAACTCAAAGTGCATCCCAACACACGTGTCTCATTTATTTTTCTGAATTTCAAATGAATCTTCTAATAAATGACATTCTGCAATAACGACAATTACCGTAAGTGGCAAGAAAATTAAAATTATTACTCGGCAATAATTGATGGTTATAAGTCGACTGATTCACGACCACCCCCGGAGGAGATTCATCGATATGTCCGCGGAGAGAAATCACGAATCTATGCCAAACGCTCGTGAAATTGAGGACATACGAGACACACACAGAAATGTGTGCTGTTCTTACCCGGTGGCATTGTGAACCTTCGTCCTGGCGAAAGTTTATTTACAGTCGACGAGGTATTTTCAATCCCGGAGTGTGGCCGGATGCACGATTTTACGAGACCCTTGATCTTAAAGGAGAGTTGTACTACTCGTGGCGCGATATCCCGTAGCTAGCTCGTCCTACACTTACATACATACATCTAGAGATAAATAATTAATAATCGCCGATGCGTCTGCTCGAAGACACCAGATACACCTACTGCTGGGCTAATTATCGCTTCGAACCACTTTGAATATAGAAACTTATCAAATTTTTAATATTGAGAAGTAGTATCAAAGTGATTCGACATTTTTTTAGATAGAGCGTCGAATGCCCGCTATTAGGTACACCATGCGTTATGGTTACGCGGATGTCATGGTTTAGATATATTATCCAATTATTCCGACTGTAGTCGAAAATATGATAAAGATACTCTTTAGGTTATACAGGGTAATGATTTTTTTTTAGATATCCTATATCATATTTCACGGCAGTGGCGGTTCGTAGCTAAAATTAGTGGGGGTGCTGCTCCAGACAATTTTTGGTCTTTGTTTTAAAAGAAAACAAAAAAAAAACGCGGCACTCTCCCTCGCAGCCTCACGTGCAGCTTCCTATGTGCGCATGCGCACGCAATCAAACACCACGCCGCTGGAACTATCAACTGCAGAAAGATTTTTCTATCTTTTTCATAAACTGGGGGATGGCTACTGGCATTAAGCTTAAGGATTATATATTGTACAAGTATAAAGAAAGAATTAAAGAGAAAAAGACTCGTTATATTAAATGTTATCGATAATATCAAGTGGAAATAAGGGATACTGCAGTTCCACAGTGCCTATACGCAGCTTCCTATGTGCGCATGCGCACGCAATCAAACACCACGCCGCTGGAACTATGAACTGCAGAAAGATTTTTCTATCTTTTTCATAAACTGGGGGATAGCTATTGGCATTAAGCTTAAGGATTATATATTGTACAAGTATAAAGAAAGAATTAAAGAGAAAAAGACTCGTTATATTAAATGTTATTGATAATATCAAGTGGAAATAAGGGATGCTGCAGTTCCACAGTGCCTATACGCAGCTTCCTATGTGCGCATGCGCACGCAATCAAACACCACGCCGCTGGAACTATGAACTGCAGAAAGATTTTTCTATCTTTTTCATAAACTGGGGGATGGCTACTGGCATTAAGCTTAAGCATTATATATTGTACAAGTATAAAGAAAGAAATAAAGAAAAGAAGACTCATTATATTAAATGTTATCGATAATATCAAGTGGAAATAGGGGGTCCTGCAGTTCCACAGTGCCTATACGCGAGCCGCCACTGTTTCGCGGTTCAATCGCCGTCATCCTCTTCCCTGAAAGTCTTACAATTACGATAAATATCGTTACGATTTACAGATACCGTGAAACGAGATGCTTACAGCAGCTGTACCACAAACGTTAAATCTTCTTCGCTTATCGTTAAGATTGGATTGCACGAAGCTAGGCAGCATGGTACGAAGAAATTTCACGGTATACCAGATTCTCCACCATTGAGCACGTTTCACGGGCACCGATGAAACTTGTTGGCGTGGAAAATAGGTGGAAGAAATAAAAAGAAGAAAGCGAAATGGAGGACAGGAAGCAAGGGTCGTGCGATTATACAATACAGGATCAATTTCAACGTGGTACAAGTTTGCGTAATTCGTGGATGCCAGGATGAATTCTATTTTAAAAACGTTCTGGATCTTAATTAATATCGTTATGATCTTTTAAGGACTTCCTTATTACGAGGACTACGTGGAAAGTTGTTTTTCTTCGGGAGCCGTTACGATCCCACGCGCGATGGAGCCCGTTTCATAGTTATGCGAACGTTTCGGTTCGATTTCACTTGGAATTGCTCAGTATTACCGTGTTCGCTGACTACAATACACCAAATGCATTCCATTGACCGAATCTTCTATTTACCAGTAACAAACCACGGTCTAAGACTTTCACAATTGCGTGTTCGCGGCTTTGCTGCTAATAAATGAATCGCTAATTGCGAGAAATTTACAACCGGTCGCGTGTTTTGTCTACTTGTATCATAATAAGAAACATGCAAACTGTCTGCGATATAATCAGCATAATTAATTGATAGAAAAGGCGCGATGAATTCTTCAAACAAAACACGTACACGTAAATTCCTCTTCAAGCCTGGCTATCTCATAACGAAGCTATCAAACTCACGACTCGAATGACTCGACAGATTCAAATATTGAAGACGAAGACTTTTATAATTCCCACTGGTTTTTGGAAAGGATATTTAAGGGACATGTCGAATTTGAAATGAGAAGGATTATGAAGATGATGAAATAGGGAAAAAGTGAGAGTTCGATTTCACCTGACTCGTATTGTCCTGCGTTGATTTACATGATTCGTCTAACTTCCATTTCTTTCTTCACGCAGATGCTCTGCCGAACGTGGCTGCCCCTTGATTCGTCGAATACTGGAGATTCTTATTTGGCACGGCGCCCACGTTCAGTGCCAACACTTTTGAGACGATGTTCAGGTCCTCTTGGTTGCCGATACCCGGCACGTTGTTCAAGTCACCGGCGATACCCGATTGATACAATAAATTCTGTATCTGTTTGGCTGGCGTGGGAGGTTTGTTTTGTCTGTACTGTGCGAAAGGATTGTAGAAGTTGGCCGGACTCCTTTGAGGTGGATTGAAACCGAAATTGTTTCTGTTGGGAGTGACTTTGTTGTCCACGTTGAAACCGAAGTTGCCTACAGCATTGAAGGCTTCCTGTCTGTTGAATCTGGTTGTCGAAGATAACGGAGGGTGGAAATCAGAAGAGAAGGAGCTGAAGCTCTGTTGAAGTCTCTGTTGATGCTGCTGTTGCTGTTGAGGTTGCTGCAGGGGCTGTAATTGCTGCTGTTGTTGCGGATGGAACTGTTGCAAACGAAACTGGTCCTGGAAATTTGGCTGAAAAGGAGGAGGCGCAGCAGCAGCAGGTACTTCCAAGGCGACGCTAGGCTGCAGATGAACGTTAGGTTCCGTAGACGGTTGGAAGGACAAGAAATTATTGTTCTGTTCTGGGAAGAATTGTTTTTGAGGACGCTGTGGTTGGAACCTTTGATGTAGCCTTTGTTCCTCGAACTTGAAACGTTGTTCCTCTAATTGTTTGATCCTCTGCTCCTCCAGCCTCTTGAACTTAGCTTGTTCCCCCAGCTGTTTGATCCTAGCTTGTTCCTCCAGCTGCTTGATTCTAGCTTGCTCCTGGAAATAGTACTGCTGTTGCTTCTGTCTAACCTGTTGCTCGTAGAGTTGCTGTTGCCTCGCCAGGAACTGCGTCTGTTGAATTTGTTGCTGGTGAAGCTCTTGCAACTGTTTTTCTAAAAGTTTCTGCTTAAACTCCAACTGTTCCTGAAGAGTCAACGCCTGTTCGTCGTTGTTTGATCTGAAAATGGGTACCACGCTTTTGGGCACACCCTGTTCATCCTGCTGAACCGTAAACGCGGCCACTAAAGGCGCTTGGAAGATCTTTACTTCTTCTGTTTTGTCTTTGCTATCACTGGAACTGATCACTGTTACGTTATTACTCTTTGTTGCAACGGTAGGAGTTGTCTGGGTCGGTTTTTGAGCAATCAGCGCGTTTGCAGCAGCGATACTGTTCGTGGCACTTCCCGCGAGGCTTTCGGAAATCTGGGTAGCTGGTTTCAGCGTGAAACTTTCCACCTTGCTGACGGAGAAAGCGTTGCCAGAAGGCTGTGGACTCTTCGTCCCTTGCTGGTCCAATTTGGACTCGGTTTTGGCTCCGAACGACGAGGAACTCTTATCTGGAAGTATCACATTCTGCACGTGAAAGCTTCTCGCGTCGTCCTGCGAGGCCTTCTCGATGTTCATCGCAGGTGTCTTCAGGGTTACGTAACGAACAGCCTCGTCGAAGCTGGAATTCTGTAGCTTGTCCTCACTTGGTACATCATCGTCCCCAGGGAAACTCTTGAAAGAGTACGTGGACTTTTGTACTCCCAGATCTTTGTTCAGATTATTCTTTGCCACACCTTCGAAGCTGGACGTGTCTCTCTGCGAGATGGATTCTCTCTCATCTTTGTGCTGTTCCGCTGATTCAGCTTCTAAATCGGTCAGGGCTTTCAACAGAGCTTGACGAAGATTTTTGTCTAATTTCAATGGTGGTTGGATCATGTCCAAACCCTTAGCTGAGATCTCTGCCTCCTGAGATCTCGCCAGGGTGATCAATGTGCTCGCCAATAGAAGTACTAGCGTTGTTGCCTGGAAAATCAATGGCAAATATTTTGATTAGAATTATTGAAAACATTTATGATTTATGAAACAATGAAATTAAATTTTTCAGGAGACAGTCTAGTATTATGGACTCAACGCCGAAGATGATCTTCGTTAATGAATGCATAATTAAATTCTGAAAGTTACTACGATATGCATATACATGAACGTGATCGAAGAAGCGAAAATTTATTATACTTGTTTCCAGCCTTTATTAATTTATCGAAGAGCGCGTGTTAAAACGTATAGACGTTTCACAACTATCAGATAATTTTCTCTTTTCAAAAATTTACACGAGACTTTCGTTCCATTGGTAAGATTAATTTTATGTAATTATATGAATGAATACCTTATTTTATATTCTGAATGATTGTAAATCTGTAAAACAAACTACTAGGTGAGATATTAGACGAAGAAAATTATATCAAGATGCGAAGAATTCCCACGAAAGTGTATGCACCAGCATTCCATGCAGTCTGCTCCATAAACGGAATGTTTAATACGGGTCTGTGGGCAAAACAAGAGGATCGTCGTTTCGTAGAATGAACCCTCTTAAATCATTCACAGTGAAAGTTGTCGAATTAAGTAAAATTAACTTGGTCCATAAAATTTCAGAATTTTCGGGACCTTCCTTCTCACGGTAACTTTTTAATCATTTTTATCTATCATAAGAGCATCAAATCAAATAAGTATTTATATATGTAAATTAATTAATCTAACGATATTTATAAATTAGACGGGATTATGGATTCGTTCTGGAGGGAAAGAAGCGTACGTTGACGAAGATTTTATCGAGCCACGTCCACGATGCGCAAAGGCGAGGTTCACACGTTTCTAGAAGCTCACCTCGAGCCACGAACTTTCATCCTGCACGGTGAAATTAATCGTAAAATCGTCCGTACACGGGGCCTCTGTGGTTTCTTCCGATGCCAATTCTAATAAACGTGATCTTGTTACATTAACAAAGATCATTTTTTTCACAGCGCCTTCAGCAATTTGAAAAAAGGCAACTCATAGCCATCTCCGATTGAAGGTATATCAAATGACAGATACTAAGAAATGGAGTTGTACGGATCATTGATCATAGAATTTTTTAGATCGTAAGATACATACATTTATTCATGTAACTGTTAGGAGTACCATGTCACGCGTCTGTAAAACAAGTCGGTGAAAGAAACTCCTAGCCACAACATGTTACGCGACATCTTCGTGACTGGTAATTGCTATCGCGTTAAAATCTGTTACCGTTGTCGAGGTCATTGAGAACAAACGCATGAACCTGCCGTGACTACGGAACATGGTTTCCCTCGATGCACACGAGATATGCAAGCATCCTTACAAAATAGAACACCGTATCGTTCGAAGATGCAACCTACAATTAAATCAACTTTCTGATATTAATTTACATTTTTTTACAGAGATAGCACGAGACTTTAGGGAGACGCCTGGCTGTCGACGAACTTTCACACAGGTCGTTGAAATCACCGAAAAGGAAAAGCGATTTTCATTTCTTTCAATGTATCGGACGGGCCAGGAATAACACGCTTCTGTTCGCAAAGTCAAGAGAAAATTGCGTTCCGTTGACTTAACGAGTTAAGTGTATACACGGGTCGATGGAAAAATGTTGGTATCGTTAAACGAATAGTATACCTCTGACATTTGCAAAGAAAGCTGTATTAGAAGAGGAGCTGTGTAACGGAGTGACACTTATGAATGCTCGTGAGCAGGAACAACGAAGTCCATCGTGATGTTTGCTTTGTCTGCGATATGAAAGGGCGGCAGACGTCGTACAATTGAATACCAATGAAAATTCGCACGGTGTGTCGTTTGGAAAGCAGTCTGATTTGCTCACAATGCTCATCCTCAGGTTTGATGAAAGAGCAGGTTGGGTACCCTTTGTGTATTTTCTTTATGTAGGACAGCGTTACTTTGGAATGCTGCAAATAATTATGTATCGCGATAGAAAATGTGATTCCTAAGAAATGACACGTGTAAAATTCGTTTACAGATACAAGCTTGAGGAATCGTTTCCGTATGGACAGACAGCTGTGACACGCCCGTACAGAAGACAGCGTAAACATCTTTAGAAAGTTTCTAAATCGGCAAATGATAGTAGCCTTCGTTGGTCCAGCATCTCATTAATATTTCGTGAAGACGTCGAAGAAATGAAACGAAAATGTGTTATGGACAGAGGCGGGCACGTCTACGCTTTCAGCGTGGGTTTCACTTTCGAAAATCTTGTTACCTGTATGATCGTTTGACACCATTCGTTCTCTATATTTTTGCATGACAAATTATACTCTGCGATTTGGGAAGAAGTTTCACGCGACCTCATATGCTGATAACGAGTTAACATAATGATCTTAGGTATTCTGAAGAACCACCTATTAACAACTATGTTACTTTCTTCTGATGGTTTTAGAATAAGAATAGAATAATTTCACAACAATTTCACAGACAAATTGTGCCTTCGTCATTCATGCCGGAAGCAGCTTACAAAAGGAGATGAATTATTTCAGTAACACCTGTTTCAGGAATATTTTCATTGATAATTGACTTTCTACGATTTTCCAGGAGAGGATTCCTCAGCCTATCATTTTCCAACATGCAAGCAGGTGAATTTCTCCGCATAGCGAGCGTCTAGTCTATTAGAAAATAGCGAAGCTGCAGCAGCAAATTATCGACGATTAAAATTTAAGAAGGATTCTTGACAGAAGAACGAAATCTTCAGTTTCGTACTTATTATCATGGATTCAGATACATCCAGACAATTGAAGACGAGGTTGGTTAATTCCAAGTATATTGAGTAAAACTATGAAATAATACGCTTCCGTAATCTGATATTCTTGACAGGGTGAATGGATCATCTGAAAGGATCATACGAGGAATCTGTGTTAAAATTCTTCGTCGCACGATTCGTTGCGTCACACAATGCAAAGATCTTAATCATTGATGCATCGTTAATAAGGAATTATTATTGTAACGCTTATGTTGCTCACGATCAGTTTTTGCTTTGACTTCAAATGGATATCAGTTTTAATTTCTACAGGATCTTAATTTAGTTTAAGTATTGATCGATAGTATCAATTTTCTTTTGAGATGCAATAATTTCAAAGTTGTTAATTAACTGATGATCAGCTTATTAACTGATCAGAGTTACTCTCATGCAATAGTAATGAGAGTGAGCCAGTCAAGCTCTAATTACTCTAGTAATACTTCAATTTCATGCGATATTTCATGTTGCTGCTTTTCTTTATTAATTATCAATGATAACAACTTTTTACATCAATTGACTGTGAAATGACTAATTATCAGATTCTCGAATCATTGAGAATCGAAAACAGGTTAACATTTTACAACATTCTATTCCACATTTTCATCCATTTTCTCAAACACAATTGCCCTACTAATTCCAGGAATTTGTTTACAGAGCCCACACAGTGTATCAAGAATTCATTCAGGTTTAATTATCAGGCATGCGATAATTGGGATCATTGAACGCACAAAATACTCCTTGAGGAGAGGAGGAATGTTTCGAGTAGTTAATGAACGATTAGTAGCGTGCGATTGGAAGCAAAATACCGTGAGAGAGACTACAGTCCTCGAATAAGAGGAGACAGGACGAGAAGGAAGATGAAGAGAAGATGCCGCGGTCATGAAGGCGGTACTTTCACTCGGCAGTGTGTCGAGGATGTGCACGCTCGTGAACTTGCCACGATCAGCGTAAAAAGCTTCGACGATACGAGTAAAGAGCTCGAGTTTTGTCACGTGTGAGCTCTGAATCCGTCGAGGATCTCCGGCACGACGCGTTTAACCGCGTTCATGCCGAACTGTTTGAAAAGCGAAACTTTTCTTGGATCAAGTTCTTTCAATTAAACTTGAGGTCAATTTTTAGACAGTCAAGCAATGAATTATTATTAGAAATGTAGCTTATAGTTTATGATAAATTACTCCAGGGTAGAAAAGAAAGAAATGATTCATATTTCGAGCAGGTCGAAACAGAAACGCGGAAACGCTGTCACGTGAAAGCGCGTTTTCAGTGTCGCCAAGTACGCGACGATTATACAACCGAGTCCTTGGCGTTGAATAATGCATAGGTCCGGCAAGAAGATGCAACGAATCGAGCGAGGTGCAATTAACTTGCAACGTACAGTGGTACGCGACGAAACGCATAGCGGTGCGACGAGTGAAAGTCGAGGATGACAGCTTTGTAATGAACGTTGAAGGAACGTCCTCGTTCGGAACAATTTGCTGGATGAGCCATGTAACTGGACGGACCTCCGTGATCGATTTCCTCCGATGAGAGCTCGATGGAAAGCGATCGAAAGAAATCGTTCATGAGAAAGAGTTCAAGGATGTGATATAAGGTTTGAAATCAGATGGTATTCGAGTTGAAGACAAAATTGATGTCTGCTTTTTATCTTAATGGAATGATCAATGAAGAGTTGATGTAAGTGAATGATAAGTTCTTAGAAAAATTATTTCATCCTTTTAGTAGACAATGACAAATGATAAACGACTTTTGTTACCTTTAACATTAAAAGGGTTAAATTTTTCATATTGTATATAATTTATAAAATGATTTCATCACGTGAGTTTTCACCCGATGATTTCATAACGAGACAACGTTAAGTATATATTAGGTCTGATCAACAGCGGCTGATCTTCCTTTCAGATTGGGTCACGCGTCATCGTCGAACAGAGAAAAAACTTTCTTCTCGGAGGATCGAAAAGATGCCACCTGCTTAAGGTACAATGAACCCATCGCATAGAATATCCACACCCAAATCGAGGCTCTCTTTGTAAAAAGTAATTACTTTCTCCCTGAATGTGGTTACAGTAACTGTAGGTAACCACTGCATTAGAAATTGTCTGTTTTAGTTTTCAAGAGACACAGTCATTCGTCTTTGTCTACCTTGGGCGATACAAATCAGCTGTACTATTCCCAGTTCATTTGTCAATACACAATAAAAGTGTGTTAATGCGTGAAACACACGGTAATTGCTTCGGAAATTGTTCAAAGTTAATTTGGAAATTGCGTGGAAGAGCGGAGTCATTAAGAAGACTTTAGAGGCAAGCAAGAGAATGACAAAATTAGAGAAGAGAGAAGAAAAGGATACCGTTTCTGTGCCAGCGGTGTTTCATTTTAATTCAAGGCAAGGTCAGGAGAAATGAGACGTTTTTACGAGTTTCATGGTGAAACGACAAACGGTTTTAAGTGATAGAAGGAAAACCGCAGCCGTAACCGCAATATATTAAGTTTCCTTTCTTGTGTAAATTACACCCATAGATTAATAAGAAGTATCCGTATCGTTTCAGTTCATTAACTCTGGAAAGCTGCCGTATCATTGCATTCTCCAAAAAAAAACGAGAAACGTATAAAATCCAGACTGTTAACACGTTCCATATTTAATTTTAATTGCAATTAATTGCTCCAGTGAGAGACACGCTCTTGTACCACATAACAAATAGGTTGCTGGAATGAAGGAAAGAATTAATTCGCTCCGTTAACGGTGTTCTCTTCAAAGTAGACAAGATTCGAGCAAATGGATCGTTAAAATGAAATGAATTTCCGCGGCTGCAGGAACAACGTGGTAAGAGGGAAAGAGTTCAAAGGAAAGCGGTACGATGACCGAAAGAAAGTTTTTAATGATAAAGGAATCTTGTTGGAAGCAACGAAATTAAGAATATTTAGGTAACATATTTGTAAGTGTAATGTAGAGAAGAGGCAAATAATAATTATTTGAATTTCTTTTCCAGAGATTCAAGGATAATAGCAATGGAAAAAAGAAAATGGAAAATGTGTTTCAAAGGTAACAATGATGTTGAAAAGGAAATGCCTTCGTACACCTGTGAATACCTGAATCGGGGGCCCCACAAACACGGGAGAAGAAAGTCGCCTGCACACAGAATGCTCATCGGGAACTTCTTCTGGGTAGAAATCTGAATTTTTCCAGCATTGAGTCGCACGGCACAACTAACTTTCGATTGCCGACGCGTCCGCAGGATTTATAAGTACGTTTCTCGACAACAACATGCTAGAGGATCTAAAAGATTATCTATCAGGAGAAACTTACTTCTACCATCCTGAACCAGCACGTGTAAGGTGTTTTAAGTAATTCCAAATGGACTCTAAAGAAATATATACTTTTTTCAAGTAGGCAGGTAAATTTGATGAATTTTATTTTTAGGTACACAATGGAAGAATATCTATTATCTTTTCACTCGAACACTTTTCACTTGTAGCGACTGATTTTCACTGTCACACGGTTTACACGAATGGAAGAATCATCACCGTTGGAAAGACAGGTGCAACAGAGGTTGAGTGAAGGAAACCAGAGGTGATAGTGAAAAAGAAAGAGAAACTTGCCGGTGAAGAGGTACAATGAATGAGTGGTTTCGTACTCACCAAGCTCATGATGCTGTCTGTGCCCACGCTCGGTTAGCATGCGGCTTTTACTCAGGAAGATCATCTTCAAGTAGTGATAGTTTTAAGGAAGAGGAGGGAGGGGTCCGCGATGTTGATACACGTGTATACCGCATACCAACGTGAAACGTTTCTTTCGCTATTTTCCATACTATTCGATAGACATTGAGCGGCCCATTTTCGTGCAATGCTTGTTGTTTCTGCATTATTCTTGTGAATGAAACAGGAATTTATCAATCAGATTCATGCAAATGTTAAATATTGTTATTTTCATACGATTTTTGATAGATCATTGTTTTAAATATATTTTGAACATATTCTTTAATATAATTTTGAAAGATTATTTTAAATATTGGCGTAGTTAATAGTTTATAGACCCTCGATTATGAAATTTAGTTCATTCAAATTCAAATTCTTGTATTGTAGACGAGAAGAAAATTTGTCATACGAAGGAAAGTATTCGGGAAAGTATTGCTAAACGATTATGCAAATATTTGAAGTGACGGAAGCGCAGACGGTTTCTTATGAATCCATCAATTTCTATAAGAAAAAAAATATTAAGAAAGTTTTAAGGTGGCTACTATTAACATATTTTTAGTACAAATAACAAAAAGATCTTACATTTTAAGAGAAATTGAAATACCATTGTACCTAAATGATGCATTGAATAATAAAGTTCTCATTCTCATTTTTAAAAGTTCGTTTTTTATTTCTCCTTTGATACGGGAAGCATTTTTGCATTATTATTAATTTTCACGTTAAATTACTTTATTATTATATAATCTATAATTATTTATAATTGATTACCACCCTATTGATCCGTTCTAATTCAATTTTATATCCTGCTGTGTTCCCGCGGAAATAAAAGTTTTGAACAGCGCCATCTAGCGGTTGGTGTTTTTGAACTGCTCCTAATACCAGGATCACAGAAAAGTAAAAGAGGTATCCGGTAGAACTGTGCGACAAGGAGAGGGGATCCATGTAACAAAGATGGCCTACTACACCTTGTGACGTCATAATGGCGGCGCGCCAAGTAGATCATATTTGGCAAAAAAATAATCAATTACTCGTTTCTAAGGAACAATTTATGCACTTTTATGATTGCTTCTTTTAGTTCGGTACTCGAGTAACTTTCACGTATAGCTTTTTCAAATATTCTGCTTGTAATTAATTAATTATTAATGGCTTAATGAATCGTCGGCTAGATGCAGCGAGCGCATGGTCTGCATTTTCGGTTATTTATGAACTTTTAGTGATTAATTCATGAATGTTAATGATTGAAGAATGAAGTTTGATTCAATACCTACTTCCCTATGTAAGATTTGTTAAGATTATGTTCGAAAATAATTAATTATTAAGATTCCCGGGAGCGATTGTCGCTGTCGAGTGCCGGTACGTAACTATCCTTCATACATTCCTGTTATTTTCTAACTTCTCGTAGATCATTTATGAATATTTAGAGGTGTATCTACTACTACAAGTCCTTAGAAACATTCTGCGATCAGAAATGAGAATTGAAAAATCATTGATAAATCGTTGATAAATTCCGACGGCTCGTCAGCTCGTATCGAGTTGAATTATTAGTCTATTAATAATTAATTAATCACAGATCGAATCCTGCTAAAACTGAACGTGAAAGTTACTCTAGTTCCGAACTATAAGAAGCAATCATAAAAGTGCATAAATTGTTCCTTAGAAACGAGTAATTGATTATTTTTTTGCCAAATATGATTTACTTGGCGCGCCGCCATTATGACGTCACAAGGTGTAGGCCATCTTTGTCGCATGGTATACCCCTTCCTTATCGCACAGTTTCGCCGGATACCTCTTTTACTTTTCTGTGATCCTGGTATTAGGAGCAGTTCAAAAACACCAACCGCTAGATGGCGTTGTTTAAATTTTTAATTTGTTTAGGAGATGTGTAACAGGGTGTAAAAGTTAATCTGTACAATAAAACATTATGAGCGTTTATTGATCCCCATTTATTCTTTATTTGCCTTGTCCTTCATTGAAATTTTAGTAAAATTCAATTGAAAATTCATGAAGTAACACCAATAAATTAATAACAAGTTACTATTTTACAAAAAAGAATTTATCTTTATAAGCATGCTGACGTAGAACACCTAGTTTAAGAAATTCATTTATGTAATTTGTTACAACAATAACATATTAATATATTTTTTCAATTCCCCGCGGTGATACGGATTTCAAACTAATTGCATCAGTCGAAAATAGAAAAACAAGCTATAGCAGTCGGTATGACTTTAAATTAAATTGGAGAACAGAAAAGCGAAAACCATGGCGGCGGTTCTGTTGGCAAGGTTGTACTTTCGTTGTATTGTACGTTTTTCTGACCGAGAGTACAAGCGTTGAAAGAATATTGCCGTGGAAATTGAATCAGGAAGAATAATGGTACGTAATTTATCAGAAACAATGACTGTCCTTCTGTTATTACCATGTAAAAGGGTTGTAATTATCAACATAACCTTAATCAGAGCGAATGAGATACGTCATTTCATGTATCATCATTTGTTTGAAACATATGAACAATAAACACAGCTTAACTGTTTCAGTTTTTGTTCTTTTTTTGAATACAGCTTATTTAAACCTGTTAATACTTTACATTCATGTTATTTTAATGTTATCAGAGTCACTGCGGTGAATCTGGCGAATCCGATGACGGCGGAGACGACCAGGAAGGTTCTTCTTATTCGGAAACAAATATCGAAGATGCCTTAACATCTTTCAGGGAGCGATGGCAGCGGGAATTAGAAATATCACCAAGAAGAGAGAGGTCAAAGACTCAGTCCACAAAGCTGGTTGACTATGATGTTTCCAATGATGAAGAGCCATTAGATACCATTGAAATCAAGGTATAATAATGTTTGGCATATATCTTGAAACAAATATAACATGAAAGATTATATATTTCAGGCAAGAAATTTGTTTTTAAAAGGAATTGAATATGAAGAAAGTAGGAAGTTTTATGAAGCTATTCAATTTTACAAGCGTGCTGTACTGTTAGTTCCTGATATTGAATTACGTTTATATGAGTCAACTAAATTGAAATCAAATGATGATGGTGATAAACAATTGGAAGATGATGTGAGCAGTATTAATGATAATACTGAAAACTATAATGAAGAAAAAGAGGAGGAAACTGATTTATTTGTTAAATTATGCAAAATTGTAAATCGTAATAAATGTGTTTGTTTTCCAAAATTTGAACAAGATGTAAGTATTTGCGTTGAATGTTATACGATAATCGACAAAAATATAATTGTATATTTATTTTTATATTATGTTGTTGTGGAACATCCTGATACACATTGCAGGGCATTCATTATTTCAGGCAACTCATATTTCTGCTTTGCCTATGGAAATAATGCTTTATATATTAAGATGGGTTGTTTCTTCAGACTTAGACTTGAGATCTCTTGAAATGTTCTCTGGGGTATGCCGTGGATTTTACATATCTGCAAGAGATACAGAGATCTGGAGACTTGCTTGTGTTAGGTAAATCATTCAAACTTTTTATTAAGTCAATTTTGATAATAATTATTTGAAATTATACAGGGTATGGGGTGTACATTGTGGAAACTATGCTCCGAAATACCGATCGTGGAGAGATATGTATTTACAACGGCCTAGATTAAGATACAATGGATGTTATATTAGTAAGACCAGTTACATTCGCGATGGTGAAAATAGTTTTCAAGATCAGTTTTATAGACCTTGGCATTTGGTGGAATACTTCAGGTACCTGAGGTACGTGATAATTAACAATAATTTAATAAAACATTTACTATCAAAAGAATTTAATCCGTATAAAATTTTCTTTGTAAATAGATTCTTTCCAGAAGGAAGAGTTTTAATGTTAACTTCAACGGATGATGCGCAGAGTTGTGTAAACTCTTTAAAAAATCGTGTTCCACGAAATCCCGCAATTCTAATTGGCCATTACAGATTGCACGATAACTATGTTACTTTAGTGCTCAGAAAACAAGAAACAAAAACTGTTGTTAACACATACAGGAAGAACAAAAGGGAACCCATACATGATAGTGGGGAACAAACTTTTCACCTTGTAAGAGTTTATAATACTGATATTAAATTATAAATTATCAGAATATGTTTCAGAATTTTCTTTATGAATGTTTACAGGAATTTGAAATACAGGATCACCATAGACGGATAAATTCGCAATTAAAATGGCTTAGTTACACTATATTCACGAAGTACAGAAATGGACATGAAGTAAAAATGTGCTTGAAAGAGCCGTCTGTTAGAGAATGGAGAGTGTCAGCTATCGGCGGACGATATCCGCCTCTTAAATTCAGTAGAGTTAAAAGTTATACTCAAGAGAGTGAAGCTCCCCTACAATAAGCGTAACCGAATGCAGAATTATTAATCGTCTGGATTACGTAAGAGTACAATAATGGAGCTAAAATTTAAGAGAAGACTAAATTCTACAGGCTAGCATTACAATCAGTCTTGATGTATATTTTCACTACGCGCATTAGCATAATGTTCTTTGAGATTTCGTAATGGATATTAATTATTTTCTTTTATTAACCTATCATACAGCTTTCACGTTACAGTTTTCTCTTAAATTCTATCAACTACATTAATTTTTACGTAGATGATATAAACAAGTAATTTATAGATTTAATGAAATCGTTATATCATGCACTGGAATAGTGCCTTATGTGCTTTCAAAATAGGTGCTTATATTTCAGGACTTGTTTTTATTTTTTATTTATGTTTATTATTTACCATTTGTTTAACAGAAATTTAGAGATCGATCATTACAGTATAACAGATTTATTCATGATTTTGATGAAACTATATGCTACCTAGAGTAAGCAGTTTCGGAACCGCAAGAACATATACGCTAAACATTACACCAAAAATATATTCACCTTGCAGGTGTTATCTATCAATTATTTTTATTTAAGTTAAAATATATTTGTTACATTATATTTCTTGCGGCTCAGTTTTGCATAGAACCTTACTTGGAAACGTATACATTCAGTCAAAGCATATGGAAGAAACGAAAATTAAGATATATTACCTCGATACATATATATTCTTTATTTTCTGAATTATGAAACTTATTGAAGAAGCCGGTCTATGCCTATAATTTTTAAATGTAAATGGGCCATTTATGTACCACTGTTTATGGAATTAACCAATTCTAATATTTTGGAACAGTTTTATTTGTTAAAAATGGCGAATAGCATTGACATTATGAGTCAAAGGTACGAATGCTCGGGAACATGTCTTGTACTTTGCTGTGGGTATTAAATTCTTATAATAATCACAATAAACGTATTTTTGATGTGCTTATTTCGTTTCAATCAATTTATCCTTCTACGATTTAATTCAAACGATGCTTAAAATACACATTGGTTCATCCAATCATTTTTAATTATTGGATACGATAAAATCATTTTTGTACTGGCAATTGTACTCGAACTGTTTAAAGATACTTCTTTTCCTTATCATATGAAATTTTAGTATATGTTTCTTTCATTTCTGTACAGCTGCTCTTAAAGATTTATCTAGTCAATTATGAAATGTATCTACATAAATAAACGTCAGTTCTCGTAGGCTCGATTTATCACAGACTTCAAAGAACAATATTCAATCACAGTTCATCGTGCTTCAACTCGACGAGACTCGTTCCGTTGCACGTAGACGGGTCAGATATCCAAGCAAGATCTTGCAAAGTCGCTGCATGCATCGAGCACACAGCCAGAACGACCAGCACGTGCATCAAATTATGAGAATTCAACGCCAGATCTAATTTGCCTGGAATCCATTTTTCAGGGATACGCATGGCCCCAATAATTGCTCCTACCACGGCTATGAGATCCTGAAGAAAAGAAATTCATCCAGCGTTATCAAATCTCCTGTGTGTTCAACAGTTAAGTTCATTCACCTGTAATACGATGTGAAGTAAAGCATCTGGAGACCCGCCACCGATATCGAAACACCGTAGGATCATTATCAACATCCTCATGAGGAAAGGAGGTGCAAAGCATAATCTTCTCTCCCAGGGAGACCGTGCGATCATCGCCTAAGAAACACGCGGCTGTTTCAGAGATTATAATTCGCAGTGGAAGAGAAACATGGGAAATACCTTCAGAAGCCCCCAAATGTTAAGGAAGCAGTAGATGAACATACAGCAGTACCAGTAGCCATTGGGTAAACAGTGAACTGTCGCGGCCATCATGGGTATAGCTCCTAAAAATGAATAGCAATATTTGTACAATCTTCATTGATTGATAGTTGTGTGGTTTTAATGGTATTAAGTATTACCGAAACTTTGGCACAGCCATATGCCAATCATGTCTAATTTCAATAACGTTCTGTAGAAGATAGCGTCGTAATTCAAATTCATGAAGAGGTGATAAATAAAGGAACCAACCCACGGACTAACGGCACCGATCAAGTGGCACCAAGATAAGATTCCTAGGAAGATACTTTGGGTACTCCATGGAAGAAGTTGCGGTATCGTCAGTAGCATGTACAAGATCGCAAATCCTGCAATATGGTTTGTTAAATTATATAATTATAAATTTAAAATAAGGGGTGCTATCGGCTCGTACTACTATTGCTACAATGTACCATCCCTATGCAACAAGTGTCTGTTCTTTATATTTCATAATCAGAATAATTGATTCAATAAAAGGGAGAGCTTGTAAATAATGCAGACAGATTTGTCTATGAAAAGTATTCACGTGACGGTCGTATTTAATTTCACAATTTATCTTGTTTTATTCTTCAATTATTAATAAAGTTCACTATTCGACATTGACATTTTCATTTTAATAATGTTGTACATAATGTATACTAGAATTACTTTCGTCAATCGTTCGCATTTCAAATATAAATGAAGTTCAATCCATAAATATGTAAGCGCAGTACTTATCAATGTCATGCATCTGGATTAAGAACGAATCTAAGGAAGCTAGTGTACGGCTTCATCGCACCGACAGGAACACAATGATATTTCATAGAAGTTCACCTTGAAATCGCGTAACTGAAGGGTAATCCAGTTTTCTACTTAATTGAATCACAATAGCTATAGCTTTAGCTTTTTTATTGCCTTCGAACACCTCCGCAGAGGTGATTATGCCTATAAGATCAATATACTGGAATTATCCTATAAGATATTTATTTTTGAATAACATACACCAAACGATCCGCTACCAACATCACTGTCTTTTCAGAGGGTATCTACCATCTAACAAAGGACATCCGGTACTCTGAGGACTCGTAATCTCAAACTTACCATGTGTTATGATATTAATCGTCTCATTGTGGATGTAGAACAGACTCCCAAGGCATTGGCGAACGGTCATGAGCGGTCTGTACCCGGACCGGATGTGAGGGTTGAACTGAAGGTGCTGTGGCATGTCGCTCCATCGTCGCAACAGTCGAATCTTCGGCGTCTCCTGAGCCTGCATCCTTCCTTGCTCGGAGTTCCGCTGATCGAACGAGTCCACGTTATTGCTGCATTGGGGCGGAGGGTCTGATACCTCCGCATGATGCTTCCCGTTTCGAAGCGACGTCGTGCAGTCTGAACGGCCGTAAGGAATGTTCGAAGCGCACGCGGGACAAAACGGTAGCTTCCGGAGCAGATATCTCAGCTGTGACGTCGGCGACGACGGTGTCGTTACTGCATCGCTTTCGTACTCGTCCACCACCATCCGTGGTTCTGACCTCTCTGACGGTGTCGTTACCAGGGAAACCGAATCGATCCTTTTCACTGCCAGAGGGAACGCACCCCCTTCGAATGCATGCGACCAATCTCCGCGAGCTCAGTTGCCGATTTATCCGAGAAACCCCTTCGCTCTCAGGCCTGCCCAATATGCAGGACGATGCCATTTTTAGAAAGATGCGTGTTGATCGTTTGTTAGGTAGGGGAGGCAGAAAATGATGTGTTATAAAGGATGATGGAGTCTGCCCTAATAGATTTCTTGGTTTGAAAGATAGGGGTTGAATATTTGAGGTGATGGATGGTGAAAATTTTTCAGAATTACATTTTTTTTAGTAGTTTACTAATAAATTTCCGAACCTTAAATATTGTTAAGCACGGTGAAACTTGGACAATTTTCATTTTATTTTTATAACGTTCTACACCGCTCGTAAAGTAACACTTTACACGTTCATCGTCATGTCGAAAGGCTAATTTTGTCTGAAACCCTAAAGTTTAAAATCGAGGAATGACGGTTAATATTTTTAGCCTATTCATTAGATCAAGCACCGGATAAGGTGCGATCTTGGTTAAGGGCCAACATAAATACGGCCTGAATGCCACGTGAGTCGAAAATCACTGTGCGATATTCAATTGGTTCTAGATTGTTCTCAGAGCGATTGCCTTTTCTCATCAAATGTCATTCGATGTCTTTTAAGGAAACAGGAAGCACTACCAGACAGGGGCAACGCGGTTTTTACGCGACATGCTTCCCGCGGTTGTCGCCGTTAAGACTAAGGACGGGCGTTCGACTCTAATCAATGGATAGTATCCAACTTGTAAGCTTGTATAATTAATTTGTGAGTCATGTTAGGTTCCTTTAACTACGTGCAATCATTTGTCCCTTTGTGAACTGTTCGGGACCAGGTAACGTGTTCTACGACACGCTGAGACATAACTATACTCTTTGTTGTTCGATCACTATTAAAAGTAACGTCAAACTTATTTCGTATTTGGGGTTAGTCGGTTGTCATACAGCGCAAGCGCTGCATAGTAAAGCACATTACCTGCACCGAGTCCTTTTGCTAAGCCGCAGTCACCCGGATAAGATGGGTGCAAGTTTATTACAGTGTATGATCTATCGTATTACCAATAGAAGTTCGTCTATTCTAAGTAGTGCGCTAAAGGGTCAGAGCAATCGGGGTTACTTTTACCGTGGACTGAAGGTAGGTCAGGCAGAAATCAGACGGTGGAAAGTCATTCAGGAGTAATGGTCATTGAGAATTCCATTAATCCCATTAATTCACCTGTCGTGATTTTCCCTCCTTCGCGACACAGTTGGCGCAGGTCCAGTCATGTCACGTGGCCTTGTTCATGGGGTAATCACGGTCACATCGAATTATCGACGCACCCTCATCGATATCGAAATTGCTTTATGTCAAAGGACTCGGTCCTTCCGTGATTGCGAAATATAGTGTCACGGTACAATGTTGCATTTATTTCTTTCTTTTTATTTAATTGTCTCTGAATGAAACGTGTGAAGGTGAAACGATCGCTATGCATAACATGGTGGTTGAAATGATTGCAGCGATCGTACAAAGACCTATGGGCAATTGCAGAAGATTTGATCCCATCCGTGGCAATGAAATATTACATTCAGAAGCGGTCTAAGCTCATCTCTAAATTTGTTTCATTTAAATCGATAATACAGGTAAGTCAATGTGTACATACATTCCATTGATTTTTTAATTTTCGCGGTTTCATATATTCATCTTGCTTAGCGTACCGTACCGCCCATTGAAACCTTTTACCGATAATAATGTGCTTCCTGTAACATAATTGTGGTGTGGTGCCACCTACGATAGTATTCATCAACTTTGTGATGCGCAGTCGCGGCATTTTTTCTCACTAGGAGATTGCGTGCGCATGCGTAAATGACACTACTAGAGATATTACGTGATGCCATAGCTGTATACATTACACATCTGAAAGTGGTTTGCATACTTTCTGCAGTTTCTCTTACCCTTGCAACAAATGTTGGTATTCGTATAGTAAAAAGACTCCAAACGTACAAAATAACAATACATTACATTAATATTATTTGTGTAGCATTCTATTTCATTAAATTAAAACTTTCTCCTTTCCTTAAACTTTTCTGGGGCCCAATCATGCCTTCGTATTTAAAGAACATAAGTACATCATTGAAACGGTCCTAGTGTTTTTTTTTAGTATGCATGAGCCAGAAATCCCATACTGCGCATCAATCCAACTAGCCACTCGGTATTTATATGTTTATCTCAAAACCTCGTGAACATCATGATTTTCTTTATTTTTGGTTAAAAATTAAGTATGTTTTGGAATTTATTAACTTTAATAAAATATGGTGTCGTACGAGTAATTAGTAAACTGATTTGGGGAGAGGTATGTAAACTTTCTTTAACAAATTATGAATAACACAGATGATACTTTAGTGTATATCTTCGGCAAAAATGCCATTTTTATTGTGTAAAGATTGTAAAGGCATAATAATTTAGTAATTTATAACGCTATTTCATGTTATTTTTGTGTCGTTCACAAACCTTATCATATGATATCATATGATAACCTTATCATATGTGCATCGTGCGTACGAGATTCATCATTCAATTGAGCTAACATATTTTACTCTTTTTTCGATACTGATTACATAATTAATATATTGGTTCATTTTTCTGTTACATTAATAGAAAAACAAATTTTGTATTATACACATATTAAAATCCATTCTGTTTTGTTTATCCTACACAAATATTAAAACCGTTATTTTTAAAATTCATATTGATAAATTGATAAATATTATCGTAAATAGATCAATAGTTTCATTTCTTTTTGTTGTAACATTAGCACACTATTTTATAACCTTAAACTGATATCGTGAAATATGTATGCATACATAATTTAAAGTAATCTTTTAAGTAAACTGCGTTTACTTTGAATTTAATTAAACCGATGTTATGTGAAAACAGATATAATTAAATTTATGTTATCATTATTTTTGTCACACTGTAACCGGCAGAAATTATGAATATTGTATTTTTTTTGTACCTACCGGAAGTACGTAAGATTGAGGTTAGTCGGCTAAGTTCGTACATGTTCGGCTCTTTTCGTAAACAGCCGACTTTACGATATCATCCGAACATAGCCGAGTGTCATTCGCCAATCGCATCGATCCGATTTCCACATCGTTGTCACACAATAGTGTTGTACGTAGCACGTCGTTGCGCTCTGTGAATATTTTGTTTTCGAGTACATTTTGGGACCAACCGAGCCTGATTGATCTCTCAAATGTAAGTGCTTCTTCTCATTGTATTATTTCCGTAAGTTAAATTAGAATTATTAAGTGATGTCCACCAGAAATGGTGCATGTGTAGCATTCACTGGTACTTGATGCTTCTCTATCTTCAAGATGGCCGCTGTTTCATGGAAGTTCCCTTATGGCGTATGCCTTGCCAGTTTGTCTCGTAACTTGTAAATTTCATCATATTCGTTCTTTCGCAGTTATCGAATAATTACACATTGTACGTTGACCCGATACACGATCTACTCTTCAAGAATGTGAGCATTTGAACTCAACGCTCTGTTTCGAAAGAGCGAACAGTTCATTAGCATTAATTTTGGAGCGAGCGTGCCCACGCGTACTCGTTACATTTTCATTTCATTTCCCTACTTACGATTAGTCTGCCATCGTATACACATATCGTATCGTTATTCTAATCGTCTGTTCTCCAATATTTCTAGTGGAACGTTTGAGGAAATGGTTTTTGGCGGGATTTTCGTTTCCCAATTTCGTATTAAAATGCGTCTAGGGTTTTAAAGGAAATTGTCCTACATATTCTAGGCACTTTTATTTATCCTTTCGGAGTGGGCTGTTTCCCTTATACTGCTTTAGTATTCTCTTACGATGGAACTGCCCACGTTTTACAGAATTTTTTGAGCTGATGTCCACGTCGTTGTCGAAAAACAGTGTCATACCACAAGCATCATCTTCACGTTCCTGGGTATCATCCATCTTCAATTTCATTTGGGACCAAGTGAGCCTCTTTCGTCTTCCTAATGTAAGTACACGTAGCGTGGTTTCAGTAGAAAGGCTCTGGTCCTAATTTCTTTCAGACGATTGTACACTGTTATCTCATACATTTATGATCTTCCATTCTTTCCTTCAATAGTATCAGTAATGTCTAATTCATTCTTTTCAGAAATCATAAAGCTATGTATTAAAATAATAATCATAGGCTACTTGTAATTCATAACTATTATTTCATACTCCGTTTTATTCCTATTCTTTCATTCTTTAAACTAATAGTATAGTGGTATGTCAGGATTAATGGTACAAATTAAAAATGTGAGCAGTAGTATTTACGTATTCCTAATTCTACGCGTACGATTCTAATTATCATTAATTATATGTAGCGATAATCGTACATAATATACCATCCTCTTTCAAACAGTTTGATTTTTTAGATGCCGCGAAGCAAGAGGCGCCATCGTACTCGCAGCCACTCTAGGACTAGGTCACATTCTGGTGGCTCTCTACAATACAAACGGAAAATCCGACGAATTGACTACGAGAGCTCGCAAGGAAAGGGAACCTATAGGTTAGTGTTAACAAAAATATTTATCCCTATACTGACTGAGAATATGGGCAACCATTCTTTGCAAGAATGCTGATAAAATGTCCTCGGCACAGAATGCTCTCCAACGGAAACTTCGCGATGCAACTGTTAAAATATGTATGCGAATCAATCAATAGGCGCATATATTGCATAAATGATGAAGTATTCATGATGCTATATCTTGAAACACAAAATCAGAGCATTCAAAATGTGTTCGCTATTGTAAGCGAGAAAGAACCGTAGATTTCTTTTCTTGCAACAAAGTGTTACGCCGAAATCTAGTTTAATTGTTGAGCGCTTTTTGTAAGACTTGCGCAAAAAAAAAAAGGATTGAGAAAGGAATAAGTGGGGAATAAGTGGAGCTACTACACACGAGACCAATGCCGCGTACGGTCTCCCCCTCCGTGCGCGCCTAGTACACCAACAGGAGATAGAAATTCTCCACGAGGTCTTTATGGCTGTCAGTCGTGGTTGGTACGTTCGTGAGCGTTCACGTTCTTGCCGAGAAGATCTGTGTGTAGGATCATCCGAACGTATACGAGTCTCGAATATCCAAATTGTTGGCTGTTGTTCTCTCGAGCGATTTGCAGAGCATACGTGAGTGCCGATGTGAATATATCCGGAATAATTTCGTTTGGATAAAGAAATTTGGATAAAGGTATACGCAGAATTCTAAGGTATAACGAGAGGAACTTCTGTTAAGAATGAATTGTTTCGTCCAAATCTTTTTCCAAGATTCGCGCATGGAAGGATTGAATTTCATTGTTTAATTGCTCGAAGAATAGAAACGTAATAGGTTTTCTTAGGAAACCTCGAGTAGAACGCATATTATGTACCAGTATGATTGATAACGTTTCGTGGGGAAAAGAAACATTTAGGGTTCGTTATCGGTTTCTTCTCCAACGTAATGAGTCAGGAATAAGTGATTCCATTGTTTGCCTCCGGTGGTCACGTTTTCAACGTTTGTTTCATAAATGGATGTTTGTTCCAGTTGAGTTTGGTATCTGAATAATCATGATGATCCTCTAAGTAATTCTTAATTTCTTAAATTCTTAATGAAAAGAAATCTCAGAGAATATAAATGGAATGATCGGTTATCTATCAAGATAGCATATCAAATGCATCAGTTATCTTGTGCAGCATCAAATGGCTTTAAAAAGAAACGAGTTCGCGATCGAATCTCAACGTTGATGTTGATTTAGCTAG